TATAGTTCAAGAGTGCAAGCTCTGAGCAACAGCAGTTCGATTCCTGGCTTGAGCTGAGCTGCTGCTGAGATGCCAACAGGTGGCAGGATGGCTCACTAAAAAAAAAAAAAAAAAGAAAAAAAAATTGGTAGACTAGATTAAGAAACTGTAGTACATTTATACAACGGAGTATTACTCCGCTATAAAGAATGAAATCGTACCATTTGCAATGATATGGATGGACCCAGAGACTATTATATTAAGTGAAATAAGTCAGTCGGAGAAAGACAAATACCATATGACCTCACTTATATGTGAAATCTAAAAACTGAATGAACGAGCAAAGTAAACAGAAATAGTCTGAGATATAGAGGAAAAACTGATGGTTGCTAGTTGGGAGGGAGGTGGGGATGAGGGAGAAGGGCAAGGGATTAGACAGCATAAATATGTAACTACAATATTGCCACAGGGATATGAAAGACAGTTCATATAATTAATAATGTTGTAAATATTTTGTAGGGTGTCAGATGGTCACATTTCTTGTTAGGGAGACCACTGCATGGATAGGGTAGAGGCTGGATCACTGCACTGTACACCTGAAGCTGATGTTGTATATTGTATGTCAATTATAAGTGTATATATATCATGGGACGTGGAGTATAGTGTGGGAATGGAGTCGAGGGAATTGTATTAGATATGCATGATACGGGGTGGGGGAGTGGGGTGGCAGATTGGGGGATGGGGATTGTCACTTTGAGGGGCAAAAAGTGTTAACTATTGCACTGTTATACAGTTGAAACTAATTAAAAATGTTTATTTCACACACACAAAAAAGTAGAATTATAATCCCTGCCCCACTGGACTGTTTGAGAGTTAAATACCTCTTTACAGTAGTAAGTATTCAGTAAATTAGTTATGATCATGAGTAGACTGTTAGGCACTATGCTAGATGTTGGAGATAAAAGATGTATGACATGCCATGTGCCATCAAGGTGCTCATGCTCTAGGTGGGAAAAGTATTAAAAAATCAAATAACTCTAATATTGTACTATTGTAAAAATATGTGCACAGGAATGGACGCTTGAAACAAAATAGTATGTGTGTGGGGTTTTTTTTTTTTTTATTGTGACAGCTCTTTATTCACTGGTATTGCATCTCAAATAGCTTTTGGAAAAATTATGTCAAAAGTAGTGAAATGACTGCTTCTTTACCATGTATCTTGTGTATTTTGTGGGCCTTAGCAAGACAACTAGATGCACCTCCCTGGCCCTACCAAGTCTCGGGACTGTGAGAGGAGGAAGGACACGTTGGGATCTAGGCTCAGAGGGACACTGTCTACTGGCCAGCACAGGTTAACCAAGCTACTATTGGGTCTTTGTTGCAGGGATCATGTACTGCAAGTCGTATGCATAGGCAGTGGCCTGCCTCATCACCTTGGTTGGGTATGACATGCTCAGATGTGAAATTTAGATAGTTTGGCTCCTGTGTAGAGGAAGGATTGGAGAGAGTAAATCATAAGCAAGACCAATAAGGAGGCTATGATAATCTAGGCAAACTCTACATGGCAGAGCAATGCAGGTAGAACTGGAGTGCGGCAGTGTAGAATGGAGCATTGTTGTGCCTAGAACCATGAGCTCCTTTTTGCCATGGTTTGGAAGATTACACACTTGAATCATCTTTTATCTTCATCTTAATCATTTAGGGGATTCTAAGGAACCCTACTTGACTCAGGCACCATTTTACAGAGGAGAAAAAAGACTCAAGGAGCAAGGCCATTACTGCACTATTACAGGGGCACTGGTCACATTGTAGTCTATGAAAATGGCACCCCCTGGACCACAAGTATGAATGGTAGTCCCTGGAATTGTGCATTGCAGCAACCCTGCTGTAAACAGAGATTACAACCCTGCTGTAATCTCCATTACATGCAGATCAGGTAATGGAACTCATCTCTATCTAAAAACCTGTGCTTTTTCTACTATACCATCCTGTGTCTTAGGACATTTTACTTATGGATATATAGCATACTTAGGGGTAAACACTGAATTAAAACAAAGAAACCAATCAAACATATCCCAATATGGGTTTTCACAAGAACCTGGTAAGCTTATTAGAATTAATTTAATGGAATCCCATAAACACTACTTACTTAAATCAAGGTGCTTGATGTATTCTTAAACCATTACTTAGTAAGGAAAATAAGGATAAAAAAATAAGGTCCCAGCTATTTACTTTGGGCTTTGCCAAAACAGATAAAAATAAGAATCTTTACAAAAAGTACAACTACTAACCACAAAAATTAAGACCATTTCGTTTTAAAGGATCAATTTTTTGCAGACATTTCTTGAATTATCCCCAAAACTTAAGGTGAATTTCCCCAGAAAATGCTTCTATAGTTATCTTGGCAATAAATACCTAACCTTAGTAAAAAGTACTTATTTAGTAACTACCTCATATATTTTTAAAAAGCTATATAATTCATATTTACGCCAAGAACACTACAATTTACCAGTTTCACCCATACTCTTACCTATGCCTACTCACTCTGAAGGCAGGAACATTTCTTTGGGTTCAATCAAGATCTCAATATGCTCTGTCCATGAAAGTGGAAGGATGAAAATACTTAAAAAAAAAAAAATATTGACTTATTGCACATAAGAGAGGCCAGCCATTAAGAGTTGGAGCAACAGGATAAAAGGAAATACTGACCAGAGCTCCTCTGGGTACAAGTAGTTAAAATGTGATCAAAAGGAGAAAAGAGGAAGAAGCATATACCACAAAAAAGCTTTATGGGTGTTGATAAAAACTGACATCTCTGAAAAGATGATAAAATCACCTCCTTGAGAATTTTCAGAAATGAGATTTATAGAACTACAGGAGCAGGAGAAATAAGATTTAGAAACATCTCATTTGACTAATGATGAATTTCAGAGTAATTAGGTGACCTGCCCAGGATCACAATTAGCAATTGCCAGAGTCTGGACTAGTACTACAGTCTCCTGTCTTCCAGATATGTGCTCTTTTTCTCATTTGCTATATTACCTATCTCTTGTATGTCCTTAACCACTTGATGCCCCCTAACCCTCTCTGCCCCACAAGGTGCCCCTTGGGGACAATCAGAGGAACTTAATTCTGGACTATATAGACCATTTAAATCTACTATCTAACAGTGGATGAAACAGTAATTCAAATGAGCAGGCAAAATTCATTTGGGGGTGGGGAGTAGAGGGGAAATACAAAAGGAAATTCTGTAGACAACAATAAGAGAAGCACAAGAGGAAATATCCTCTTTTGTTATTTTATTACTGTTATTTTATTTTGTAGTTAAGTCCATATATTATATAAAACATAACAGGATAATGAACAAATTTATAAAATAAATTGAGGTGTCTGGATGAAAAAAAACACAAGAGCTTTGCCTTTGTGTCTGTAGATCCCTTGATATGTTGTTGGTCTTGCACTTTAGATATCATATAAAGATACCTAGCTTGAAAAAAAAGTTCATATGCTGCAAGGTTAAGCCATAGTTAATGATGGGCCAGGAAACGCTAGATTTTCTAAATCTTATCCTTAAATATTGGCTATAACAAATGCTGATATAGCAAAATGCAAGCTTTTATCATCAGACAGCAAGAGGGAAACTTGAATGAATGAATACAACTTACCTCCAAGTCCTCTGAGAGGAGGTAAAAAATAAATACTGTGTTTTACCAGTGTTCCGCCCAAAGCATTATTCTAAGCATGCAGGAGGATGCTGTGAGCAGTTATAATAGCAAGATCCAATCTAGAGGTAGGTTCAAGGCCAAGAATAGGAGAGTGTTTGAAGAAATCCTCCTGGGGCCAATAACATGTCATAGAATGCCCATTTGTGCTGGGGGATAAGTCTGTGGTCTATTTTTTTCTGATTCAAAAAGGATATTCCCAATTTCAACCTTGCTGAAAAAGAGGCATTTTTGCACCTGCTATTAAGAACAGCTAGGATACAGGATAAGGCTGGCATAAAATTATTTAGTAAGCACATGCTAGCTATTCCAGTTTGAAATCTACCAAACTGTAAAATCAAGGGGGAAATAAAAAGTTGAAGATGGAGTTGTTATTCCTCAGGATGAGGGAACAAAGTCTTACAAAAAGACGGATTAGGCACTCACTTAACTCTATATGGAGAGCATCGTTCTGAGGCTAGGGGGAAGGTGAGGAGGAGCATTACCAAAAGCTGACCAAGCCAACCGGAAACCAAAAGGAGAGGAAAAATGGCATTTAGGAAGAAAGCTAGTAGAAGAAATTCTTCTGGGTCTGACTAGGTAAGTGAATCTAAGGCAACTGCACCAAAGATATGCTACCCATTTACGCCAGCATGAAGCTGGTGAAAATATCTCAAAAAGACATTTTAAACCCAGAGCATTGTATGAAAAATACATTAGCCAAGCAAATTAAAACAAAATGAGGATAAACTCTCAGATTTGAAATCCCAGATAGTCACTTTTCATTAATTCTGTGCATTCTTAGAAAAAAATAAAAAGTAACAAATGTAAAGATTTGTTTTATTTCTATTGGGGGAAGGAGGAGGATAAATAGAACTGTTTTCCAATTTGCTCTCCACTGTATACACACATACCCACACACATACATAAACATACACACACCAAAAATACCCCAAACAAAAAAACAAAAGAAAAAGTCAAGAATCAAAAATCAAAACACCCTCAAACTGCACCAATACTTCGTATTTTGACCAAAAGAATAGATCCGGGGAGGAAGTGCAAAATGCAAAATCAAATGACCAAAAAATGCTGAACAAACAGCATTATTAATATACAAAATATTTATATTACTGAACTAGTAACAGTTGATGTTCTCCGTGTCTGTAAAACTTTGGAACCACATAGCTGATCTGTTAAATCTAGTCCATGCCAGCTTCCAAAAACCAGAAGAGATTTTAGTTAGCTTCATTTTTTGATGCCTCATCAAAATTTTCTACGAGATCTGAAAAAAAGGTACATGAGTTAAAGATATACATGAAGTAAATAAATCCTTGTATTTTATTTTAACCCCAATAAAACCAAAATTATTGCTACTAGAATTAGCCTCAAAATATATAGGACAAGGGGCAGAAAAGAATTGGTGGTGTTTCATTACTAATGCTTCATTTATCTGCTTAAAACAGTAATCCTAAGGAAAAGTTAAATTTTTTGGTCTATGCAAACTACTGAGTGAACAGCATTTTCATATGTCAATAAAAATTCCCACAGATATGTCATAACAATAGCTAAAATCATAACAAATTTATAATCACAGTGATTCCAAGTTAATACATGCAGGCAGCAGAGCTTTGTGTGACTATTTTTAATTCTACATTCTAAATGGGAGGGCTTTTATTCTTTTTTGTTAGACCATAGCCACATCATTCGAATCAACTGAAATTCACAAGCTCATTATCAACCTAAAACTGTAAGTCATTATGCAACAAATTAAATGAGATAAGCAGAATGCTAAAAATCGTAAAACAAAAGAAATGTCACTTACCTGGAACATCATCATCTTCCTCATCAATATCTTCTGGTTTTGGTGCTTTGCTGTCCAATACTACAAAAAGTTTGTTTTAAATTAGTCATTGAGAACAAAGACATCTACAGACACTTATACTGTTTATCCTTTTCTCCTGTCTAAATCTTATATAGTTGTTCAGAAAAGGCTAAGTATTGTCTAATCTAATGCCATAAAATCACTTAAACTTTAACTTCATTAGATATATACTAAATACAGCTGGCAATTTCAATGGGCAGTGATGGTAAAATTTATATGCAAAATGGAGTAATTCAGATTAGTCTGAATAAAAAGACATTACAGTTAATTTATTCTCCAAATTCCATATTCTCCAAATTAGAAAATCAATATTCAAGATTTTTTCCATCTCTTTTGGTGTAAGAGAGTATCTATCTATGTAGTATGAGCACTGAAATAATAGGCTCTTTGATTTTTAGGGGTGACAAGACACACTGGAAACCAGAACTATCTTGGAAATTCAGAACATATGGTTGCTGCATCTATAGTACAATCAACAATGTTAAACAAAAATATAGTTCTGTGATAACACTGTGTTCTTGTCATTAATCAGGAGTATCAAATTGATTGTTTATAAAATGTGGCCTGCAGATCCTGGCACTTTCCTTTTAGGTAATTACTCTCAACGTTCTATATTACCAAAATGTACCCAACTATTCCTATGCCATATTGCATAATTATTAAAGAAACAAACCCCAAAATTGATGAAGCACATAAGTAACATTATAAAAATAAAATATATATACAGGCAAATCCTCCCAATATAAAAGAGGACATGTTTTAAATGATGAGTTTCTTTAAAGTGGGGAGAAAAGAGGTACTAAATTGAAATACCTACCTTGCCGAGGGAACTGTTCAGCTAACTTCCTAAGACTTGTTAAGCTGTCCGCACCAAGTTGACTTAATATTCCAGGAAGCATCTCTGTGATTGGTTTGGCTTCTGCATGACCAGTAATTGCAAAGGTGTTAGCAGAAAGGGAAGCTTGGACTTTGGGATTGTTGAAATGAATAACTGTCCCATCATCTTTAATCATGTTTACCTGTATGATCATGAAAGAAAAATGTACTTCACATATTAGGTACAACTAAAAGTATCTTTTAAAAAAACAATTTAGCCAATTATGCTTTTTTACTTGGTAATTATGTAATCCCAAGGTAGTATCTAAGCAGTGCATATGAATGGATAAAAACCCTAGCAACAAAGTTAACATAGTGTAAATGGCACAAATTACTAGGATGGTCAAAGAATCTAGATTTTAAATTCAAAGACTTCTATGAAAAAGAAGTTCATGTCCACATTTAAAAATACTATAACAATCAGCCAACAACTGGCTTCTTAATGAAATACCCATTATCTTACTCAATTTACACTATTAAACTAAACTGATACAGATACCATTTGGTGGGACAGCCTCTCACTTAGGGGACAGGTTGTAACGGCAAAAATAACCACTGAAAATCCATAAAGAACACTCAGAAATTTAATCAATCAGGTGTTATACTACTTTGTACATTTAGTAAATTTACAAAAATTTCATGTTCTCATCATGTCATTTTTTGTAGAGGATTTTGTGAGTTCCTCTAATTCTTATGTATTGCTTCTCAACAACCTTCAGTAACCCTTGTAAATGTCAAAGAAGTTCTCCCACCCACTTGCCTGGCCACTTGAGCAAGCTTTATTAATTACTGGGAAACCATTAAAACCATCCTCATATTCCTTCTCTAGCTTTCACCAATATGAATTGACTGTTTCAGATTTGATTTAATCCATTGTCTGAGACTTACTGAAAAGAAAGGTTGAACATGAGCTATTTAAAAGTTATTTTTCTCTCACTTTCTTTCTGTGTTTTAGTAGAGCTGAATTTGCATAACTTAAATGTGTAAATAATATAATTCCACTATGTAGTTGACTCTACTGGGTAAGTTACCTTGGTGGTAACATGCTTATTGTATAAAAAGGTTAGGAGATTTAACACTTGGCTACTTTAGAAGCATTTCATGATCCATCCAAAAACTGCCCTTGTCACAATCAAGCAGAGATGCTGAGTGTTCTCCATAGTCAGTGGAAGTGGGCTTTTCTTCCTCAGAGGTGATCACCACCACTGACAGCACCAGAAAGGAAGGGGAAGAAAGGGGCTTCTAAATTTCAGGCAAGACCTGGAACACAGAGAAAATAAAGGCAAATCCCCTAGAAAACTGTAACTAAACCCCACAAATAATTTCCCAATTTTTTTTCTGACTAAAATCAGTATTTCAATTCTATACTCTTCCCTATTGTACTTACAGTTCCATTATGTATATTAGACATATACATAGTAAGCATTCCATGCAGCTGTTCTGAGCAAAGACCGTGAGTTAAAAATACTTTAATACTTTATATTAACTTTAAAAAAAGAAATTATATAGCTCTGAAGATAATTATAGCTTAGTTAGAAAAGTTTAATATTAAAGTGGCTAAAAATCTGGGAGAGGAATGGCTTGAAAAGGAGGTGGCATAATGGAGATGAAATGGAATGTTGCTCTGGATCTAAACTAGAATCACATACTTTAGTTTGGGAAAAGAATAAACATATGATAGGATTATATTTTCTAAATCAATACCAAATCATTTAATTTATTAATAAAGGGTTTTTATAATACTTCCAGGTATGAAAGAGTCTCAAATATTGGAGTTTTTAAAATTTACAGCCTAAAATCACAGATTTGAAATCAATATTGTTCTAAAACAGGCCATACATTTGTTGGACTTAAAGGTCTTCTAGTTCAAATCTGTTGTTAAAGAAATAAATACTAAAGATCAGCTCTTGGTTAAGCAACATACCAAAGGCCAAGTATGTGCAAACCCAGCACTTGAACCTGGGTTTCCCAACATTCTGTTTGGTTTCCTTCCTGCGATGTCATTTGCATTCTTAAAACATTTATTTGTCTATAAAAATTCAATTCTGTGGCCCCACAAAAGCTTGCAAGAGAATTATTTATCTCAGAATATAGGCTAAATTGAGAATGCAAAAGGAAACAGCACAGATATATGGATAATATATATCTTCCTGGCTACAGAATAAATAAGAGGCTAACATGGGGCCAAAAAGAATAAACAAATTTTATCAATTTTCCTTCTGTTCAAGCTTCTTTTCTAATAGCTATATTTACATCCTGATGTAGGTCTTTGTAGTTTAAAATGTGTTGTTTGAGTTTAGTGTGAAAAGCAAGATGAATTCCATCTCAGACTGTGAAACAGAAATAAATTTATTAATGGTTGTTTTAAATGGGGTTGTATAAAAGATTTAGCTTCATGAATAAAAAGGTCCAGAAAGGGGTGGAGAGTTTAATTTTAGAATAGGGAGAATGAAATACTAGAAGTTCAAAAGGCCAGAATATTTTATTTCTAACATTCCTTTCTCTCTACTGAGCAATGACATGGTTATATAAGGCTTCAAGACACAAGCTATTAGAAACTATCAAAGGAGGAATTGTTGGGCTGATCAGTTAAGACGCTTCCCTTTTAGAGGCAAAAGAAGGCATAAGGAAATTGTTAAATTCACAAAGTAAATTGTATGCATTTCATATGGAGAATTCACTTCTTCCAGTGATTTTACTGATGTTTGGTTTAAATAAGACATATAATCTATATATGGTATAAAAACAAGGAGCAGACAAGTAAACAAAGACTACTAAACTAGCTACTATACCAGCACTCAGGTCCCTTTTTCAATCAAACAGCTAGCTCCTTTATGTCAAATGTTTTTTCCACTTAACAGGTACTTAAAAGTAAAGTATGCTACTTGAGCAGTGGAGGGGACATTTTTGAGACCCCAATCCAAAATACCAGATGCCCTTGCTCTTATTTTTTCCTCTAAAAATACTGATATGTCTTATAATTACCAGAAAGTATTTTGTCCTTTCATGCCTAGTGCATTTACATATGCAGTTTGTTCTATTTAGAAGAACCTTTTCCTGCTTCCCCACCTTGCAAATTCCCATTTATCCAACCAAGTCCTGATCAGATGCTTGTTCTCTGTGAAAATTTAAGGTGGTTTACGCAATTTCTGCACTTCATGGGTATTACAATTAAATTAAATTGAATTGTTGTAGTGTAATTGTGTTTTCAAGTCTGATCTTACTAGAAGGTGAGCTTGAGATCGGAAACAATGCCTTACCAGACACAGTAAGCTCCCAAGTGTCCATAATAGTCGCTCAAATTTGCTGAATGAATGGACACCTCCTATACAATTCATTCTAAAATCATGGATACTGTCAGACCTCAGCTCCCAAATGCAAGGTTTAGAAATAGCATCAGTAATATTGCCAATGAAGATGCCCAGAATCTTCTGGGCTATGTCTTTCGCCTGACTTTTCCTATTGTTCAGATGTTTCAGAATCAGCCTGACTGTCCTACAGAATTTAGAGCCATTTTAAGTCATTCCTGGCAACGGCTGGGTGACATCATTATGCTGCTATCAAAACTTTAAAAATCCCTGCCTTCGCTGGCCTCTGAGTAGGGCACACATAAATCACAGCAGCCTTCTATCTCATAAATCTGATGCTTGTTTTATTCCTACACAGCAGTAAGTTTTTATGGCTCTAGGAGGCTCACAAAGTTATACTTGACTCCATAGCTTTTGCTGATAACTGCCCTCTAAGTTCAGAGAAGAGGTTTAAATTTTTCTGCAATGTGATTTCTTGTATCTATTTTAAGTCTCCACTAGGCCAGGTAGCTGCTGTTCTGAGAATTGAGAGTTGTCTTAAAATCAAGTTTTATTGCCACTCCTTCCGACATATAGTGGCACTTAAATATTTATCAGAAAATTCATTTTTATTGCCATCCTCCTATATATTAATAGGGTGAAATATTAGACATTTAAAATATAAGGCACATAAGTATCTGGGATTTTGTGAGGCTAAGGGATGTCGTCATATTTTGAGGATTATGGGTTTTGTACACACTCCCATAAGTCAGTACCTTTCTCATTCAATCCTTCTAAGCTCAGTACCTGCTTATTTCTAAAGGCTAGTATGAAGTATAACCTATTATTGTTGATATAAGCTAAAGCTAACAGCTGTCATAACACTATATGATATGCTGGCATCATTTTCTCTTATGCTCTGGTGGCAAGAGTCTAATGAAATGAATTCTCTACAACTGTGCTGTAGATAGTGTAAAATGGCATACCCTTTTTGAAAAGCAATTTAGCAATATGAAGAGTTCTAAAAATGTTCATGCATGCTCTTTCAGCCAATAATTGTATTTCCAAAAATCTATCTGAAGGAAATCAGAGATGAAGGTTAACTATTTATATACATGAAAGTCCAATATGTATTCTTTTATTATCAAAGCATTACAATGTATAATAAAGTAATGTTAAATTATGGTATATCCAGATATTGGAACATATGTAGACATCTAGACTGATGATTAAGAAGAGTATTTTAATGATATGAAACAATTTTTACAATATAATGCTATCTGGAAAAAAAAGATTCCAAGTTGTACATCTAACTAGTCTCAGATATGTATGTATAAAAATATATGTATACAAAAATGGGAAATACAAGAGTAAGAGTTATTTCTGTGTAATGGAATAATGATTGAATGTTAATATTCTTATTTTCTATATACCTGTAATTTTCTACAATGACAACATACATTTATATTGGGGAGGAAGCTATTTTAAAAACAAACGATGTTCATCAACAGATGAATGGATTAAATGTGGTACTATCCATACAATGGAATATTATTCACCTATAAAAGGAGTAAAGTTCTGACACATGCTATAACATGGATGAACCTTGAAAACATTATGCTAAGTATAGGAAGCAGACACCAAAGGGCAAATATTGTATTCCAGTTTTATGAAATATCTACAGTAAGCAAATCCACAGAGACAGAAAGTAGGTCAGACGTTATCAGGGGCTGCGGGAGAGGGAAACAGGGTGTTATTGCTTAATGGGTATGGAGTTTCTGTTTGGGATAATGAAAAATTCTGGAAATAGGTAATAGGTACAACATTGTGATTGTAATTAATGCCGCTGAATTGTACACTTAAAATGGTTAAAATTGAAAATTTTATGTTATATATATTTTTCCACAATAAAAATATAATTAAAAAATTAAACAAAAAAGCAGGAAATTCAAAGACAAAGTGAGGCTGCTTTGGAATGATAAGGTGAGTGGGCCATGGTGTTTCCCTTTTACTCCCCTGCACTCAGAGGTGTGTCTATCCATCGGCACTTGAGGCTCTAGCTGGAGGAAGAAGGAATGAGGTAAGGGTCAACCAGTAACTTTAGGTCCTCCTTCTGTACAAGTGGTTCAGGCAAAATTAAGAACAAGGAAGAGGAAAACATAAACAGTAAAACTTATGTATACAATTAGAAAATTTACATTCCCAGTCCTAAGCTCTCTCCTGAGCTCCAGCTCCCCATGGCTAATTTGTTGCAGAATAATCGCTCCTAGAGTAATCAGTATCTCAAACAATAGGCCCAAGACATCTCATCATGGGAGTCTGCAAGCTATAAACAAACAAAAAAAAAAACATGGTTCCTGCTGTCAAGATTCATTATCATCTACTGAAAACAGACTATTTGGTTAATAAGTAGCCATTATACCTCACAATATGAAGTAATAATAAACATATAGAAGAGCAATTTAACCTAAGGGCAGCGGGAAGGAAGTACAGAGAAAGGGTTGATTAATTATGACTGGAAAGATAGGCAAGATTTCAGAGGCAAAATTACACCCTAGTTAAGATAGAATCTGTCCTCTGAATGTAATAGTACAACTCTATGAAGCAACTAGGCCATCTGAACCAGAGATTCAGATTTTTGGTGACATTTTTTATCAAATTAAATCTTATAAAATCAATTGTTTCTGAAAAATGGAACAGCTCCTATTGTTGATAGATTCATGTTGTCAGGGGAAGAAGGGTGACAGCAGTCACTATATCCAACTAGATTACCAAATAAGTACATCCAAATATCTTCAAATGTCACAGAACATAAGACATTTCCAGAAGTTTAGTTCTGGGTTATATTCTTGAAGTTCACCTGGGAATTCCTTTCTAAAACTTGATTTTATATGAAATAGTCTCTGACACTCCCCTGCCCCTTACTTTTTTTCAGCTTTGGATTTATCTGTCTTTGGGAACATGTAAAAGAAATCTATACATGATTATAACTATTGCAGCAAATCAACAAATGAATACATGCAAGACCGGAGAAGTTTGTCTCAGTGGAAACAGTCCTTTGGTTTTTTAAGTTTCTGAAAAGGACATAAATTAAGCTTTGGAAGGGGGAAAAAAAACCCATCAAGACTGACAGCCTAGAAAGTAAGATTTAGAACTTTACTTGGCAAAGTGCATTCAACATGATTTGAAACCCACCACTGATCTTCCTGCTCCTCACCCACCAAACTGAGGACTTTCTACTTTTTTGATGTTTTGAAGGTCTTAAGTACAGAAAACATAGTAATATTACTTTTGACAATAGTGTCTTCTTTTCAAAAAATTTTTACCTGCTCTTCTTAAACTGTCAAAAAACAAAAAGACAGTATATTCTTCAGAGTTCAGCACTGTGAAACAAGTTTAAAACATCCCAAATAAAAAATAAAAAAATTGTAATTAATGTTTTGTCTATTCTAAAACATACATATTTTTTCATACCTTAGTGTTTCTGAAAACTGTATGTTTTCACGTATACATTTAATGCAATAACTCCTTTTCCCCTCCTAATAGCTGTTTTTAAACCAAGTGTGTGTCATCATTTTCTTCAGAAAAAAATTGAAAAACAATTTATTTTAAATATAGTAACAGACAACATAATGTTTGAGGCAAGCCGATTATATACACCATGTCAGATATTCGTAAACAAAATTATTTCAGATCTGCAAAGCATTATACAAAGTATATATATCTTGGTTCTCAAAAATCCATTTTAGAACAGGAAAGAAGGAAAAAGTAAAAATCCTCCCATCTTAAGTTCAAATATTAGAAATTTAATAGCTGTTACCTTGCATTGTTAATTATCTTTATACATATTTTCTCTGTACAACTATTGGGTTGTCGGAAAAGTCATGATGCATTTTTGCAACGAAAAACATAGAAAAATACGTCATGACTTTTCCGACAACCCAACAGTTTGTGGGGGCTGGAAGACAGCATAGCATATACATGGGGCTCACAATGACAGTGTGTACATATCTATTATGTACCAGTAACTTTCTGTGTGATGTTTTGGAGCTATGACTCCTCACAAAGTTAGACTTGTACTGGCAATACCAACAAAAAGGAATTCACGATTCAGTTTAATAAATGTTATAATAAAAGTAAATGCAGGGCATTATGAGGCACATAGGAAAGGCACCTAACCTTTCTTTGTACAAATGCGTATGTGTGCTACCACAAAGGCTTCTGAGAGGAAATACCACCCGCATTAACATCTGAAAACAGAAAAACAGCAATGTCCTTGGAAACACTAATGGGGATTTCTTTTATCTATAATGGTGTATATAATGAATTCTGCATGATAGGTGCTCACTAATACAGGATATAAGGCAGGTACTTTCCCTTTCTTTGGTGAGGTGTACCACAGATAGTAATGATGTAATTAAATCTAACTTATGGCAGTGAAAATGTAAACATTGATAACTATCAGAAATGAAATCATTAGGTAGAAGTGGATCTAGATGGTTAACAGATCACAAATAGTTGATGTAATTTTTCTTGAGTGTATTTTGAAATAACATCAATCTTTGACTTCATATTTGAGGAAAGTTGTATCATCAAAATATAATAAAATGATTAAAAAAATTTAACCAAAAATTTTGGAAAGAGGACTAGTAAGAAAGCTAATCCATGGAAAGCTATTGCTAGAACTTCTTGGCTGAGGCAGAAATTAGAGACTTTGTAGAGCAGAATGGTGCCCTTATGGGAAAAAAAGTCCACCTTATTTGATGAAAGCATGGGGTTTTTTTTACTCCTATATCAGAAAAAATATCTTACATTAAAATTCAAGATGAGTTCCATCATTTTGCCATATATGCAAATACTTTGAGTCTGAAAAGTATGATGAATTCCTTAACTGTCTACTAAAATTATCTTTTGGACAATCATCCAATTTTATACAATGAGCAAATTTAACAGCTGCAGTCCATCACAGACATCTGAGTGACAATACCAGATTACGTTAAATTGATATTTTACATTTGAAAAGTGTGGATAATGATTTGTGAATGTGCTATTTGTCCACATAATTTAACAATTTACAAAGTGATCATACCTCTTCAATACCAGCTATATTATTCACAGCCAGTTTTTTTAGAGAACTCTGAAGTTTTTTGTCATCAGCTGTAGCTGTTCTGTGTACCACCTTCTTCTTTCTGCGAGCTGTACCCTGAAAAATAACCAAACAGAAGGGTTAGCATGCCTTGCATCTGGCAACTGCAATCACATGTCTTCCAATCCACAGCACCCGAACTAAAACCCACATAAGAAATTGCTGACTTAATAGTAATGATTAATAATACTGCTCAGAGTTGTGTCTGTCAGCCTAATCCAGATTTTTGAAGGTCAGTTCTAGCCAGTTCTTATTCTTTCCAATATCCAGCCTTTATCATTTCAACACATTATATTTCAAAATTTTTCTAATAAAAAATAATTTATAACTTCAAGACAATTTAGTTTATAACAACTTTCAAACATTATAAGGAATGCTTTTTTTAACAGTACCTACTATCCCCTGACAATAAAGTCTAAAGATATTCTGAGACTGTAGATTATGACATAATTAAGAATCAAAAGCCTACTATATGAGTGTTCTAGAGTCCTAGAATCCAGGAATGAGAAAGATCAAGTTCTTACTTTAAGAAGCATACATTATAGTGGGAGAGAAAAGCCAATAAATATATAAATAAGATCATTTCAAATGGGATAAGGGTATTAAGAAAAAAATAATACACTGGTAAGAGTGTTGGGTGGGAGCTAAGCACTACTTTATTAGAATGTTCAAGGGAAGGCCCCTCTGAAGAGGTGACATATGAACTGAGACCCATGAGAAGATCTAGGGAAGAGTGATCCAAACAGAATGAAACAAGAGTGAACCTGTTGTGTCTAGAGAAAGAATGCAGGCCAGCATGGCTAGAGAAGAATGAGTGAACAATGGGAAAGGAGGAAGAAAATGAAATCAGAAAGATAAGCAAGAGCTAGGTCATGTAGCCCAGAATGCCATAGGCAGGAGTTGGACTTTATTCCAATTGCAATATTGGAAGATTTTAAACATAGAGATGACTTGATCTGATTTATGATTTTAAAATATGACTGAGGTTGCTGTGGAAAATCAACTTTTGGGTTGTCAGAAAAGTCATGATGCATTTTTGCAAAGAAAAACAGAAAAAAATACGTCATGACTTTTCCAACAACCCAATATAATGACATCAATCAATCAGGAAGCTACTATAGCAGTTCTGATAAAAGATGAGGGTTGTGGCAGTGGAGATGGGGAGAGCTCAATATGTCAGAAGAACTAATAGGACTTGCTGTTGGATTAGATGTAGAAAAAGAGAATCTATATAGAATGATGCTTAGCACTTTGGCCTGAGCAAATAGGTTGAATACTGTACTATACACTGAGATAGAAAAAGCTCATTTCTAAATGGATACTTCGAAACTCTAAATAAATTTTTCCCATTGAAAAACTATTTAAAAGAATGGATAAAATTCCTGGGCCAGTGTACAAAAATGAAACCTAAAGCAGAGCTGCAACACTAACAAAAGCAGCCCAAGTCATGAGGGCTAACGCTTTTTGAGATCCAGCAGGAGTAAGGGAAAAGGAATGGAGGTTTCAATCTCTGGGTGGCTCCTGCAGTAGCATTCAGCCTTACTGAAGGTAGACAGGGGCTTCAGTCTCAGCAACTCTGGTGGGAGTGGAAGAGAGCTCTATGAGTAGCAGCGGAGGTTGTGATGAAACCCAGTTGCTGAAGATGGACTAGAATTACATAGATGCTCATTTATTTGTGAAGCGTTCCTGATTCAGGATAGCTCAATTGCTTACTGGACACCTCAACTCAAATGATCCTCAGACACTTTAAATTCAACATGGCCTAAAAACTTATCAGTCTGCCAAACTACTCTTCTTATATTTCCTATGTTTTATAGCTGATGGTACCACCATATATCCAGTCTCTAAAGCCAGAAATATGGGGGTCATCCCAGACTCTTGCATCTTCCCTTCAACCCCCATATTCTATCAGCCATATCAATTCTAACCCCTAAATTTTACATATTACAGCAGTAGCCTCTCAATTGTTCTTTTATGCAAATTTCTATTTCATTCCATTTCCACATTGTCAGCAGTTACCTTTCTAAAATGACTGTTATTTCCTTCTTAAAATCCTTCAATAGTTGTCCCTTGACTATAGGATAAAATCCTAAACTCCTAGAATGGTATCTAAGGCTATGTATGATTCAACCTCAAATTACCTGGTAGTTTCATTTCCAACCATTCTTTATCCATTATATAGTCAACTTTAACTGGTTCTTTTTTTTTTTTTTTTTAGCTGAGCCATCCTGCCACCTGTTGGCAGCTCAGCAGCAGCGTAGCTCGGGCCAGGCATCAAACCACTGTTGCTCAGAGCTCGCACTCTTGAGTGAGCTCTTAACTAATTGAGCCACTTGGCTGGCCCCTCAACTCTAGCTATACCAAACGAAAGCAAGCCATTCCATTAAAGCACCATGTTATCATAGCATCCTTTGTGTTTTTGCATGTCTGAGAATGACAATCCCTTTTCAGCCTACCCACTTACCCTCTCACATGTCTACTTCGTGATAAATTCTTATTCTTCAAATCTTAGCTCAGTGAGGACTTCCTTGTCTCTCCTAGGCAAGAGCACCTTGTACTTTATTTTAGCATTTATTCTTCTATAGTGTAATTGTGAGCATGTCTTTCTCCAAGTTATGTCAAGAGCAGGAAACCTTATCTTCTGTGTGCTTGGCACATAGTAGGTGCTCAATAAACTAGTTAAATGAATGAATGTGCTAACTGCCTAGAGATATATATATGATGTTCTGCATCAAGCTCTTCCAGGTGTATTCCATGGTCCCTAGTTTTTACATTGGTATATTACACTATACTTGATTTGGTCACATGAATGTGTTAATATGACTCTAAAGTCATAAAACAGTATCACTATGAAAGGAGAAAGCACTAGTCACTATTTCCCTTTACCCTCTCCTGTCCCCATCACTAGGAGCTGTGGTTATCAACGAAGTAAAGGACACAGTGGGGCTTATACATAGTATCTGTCCTACCTACTCCTGCCCACGTCTGAGGTAAGCACTGTTCTTGCTTTTCCTTTTACAAAGGAAAAGATTGTACTGGGCAGAGATAAAGGGAGAATATTCTCCTTGAATCTGGGGCCAGAGCTAAAGGGAATCAAAGATTTTTGATGCTCAAAACTAGCTTTTCCTTAGGCTTCAAAGAGTACATGGAATAAGAATGCTTATGTTCATATAGGCAGGAATTTGGGAGGAAAACCTAGCAATAAACAAAACCTATCATCAGCTTGAGCCTCTCCAGTTAAGCCACTTAGAAACCTAACTGTAGCAGTAAGTGTATCCTGTCAAGATTTGGTAACCTTAATATCTGGGATGCCCCACACGTGAGACTAACTAACATAATAATAGTTATCATTTATTAAGTAGCTACTCTGTGCCAGAGACCATGTTAGGTGTTTTATAAATATTACTCTAATCTATAGAAGCATCTTATGTACTAGTATTTCTATTTTGCAGATGTGAAAATGGAAGCTTTACAAGGCTAGGTAGCTTGTTCATGTCATATAACTACCAGGTGTTCAGAGGATTCAAACAAAGGTGGCTATTTCTACTTCACCATCAGAGAGAGTATTCTAGTTATCTATTTTAGACTTAGACAGTTATTTTCAAATTGGAATGTGGTTTGATCTTGATTATTGAAAAGATTTTAGATTTTCAATGACCACAAATCCAAAATAATAATCTCTAGTAATAATACATTCTCCTATCAGTTTGTTTTTATGCCACACTCACCTTGCCCCCTATCCGGACCTGAGCCTGAAGTTTGGCTAACTTTTCTTGATTCATGCTGTTGGTAAATCTAGGGGGGGAAAAATAGATTTGTTAAAGTCACTGTTTTACCAAAATAAAATAACTGTTTATGCAACAGTACCTTCTGGTTCACTGAGCTTACAATATTCATCACCACCATGACCATATTAATACATCTACATTCTTAATAAATATTAAACTTTTTTTAGCTTCATAAACCAGATATTAAAAGAACTGAAATTAAACAATACCACGAGGGAGTGGAATATAAAAATAGAAAACAGAATGAGATTCAAAGTTACCTATCTGAAGATCCCTCCTTAAAGGCATGATTTGGTACTTTGGCGTTCAGTAAAACCTAACCAATTATAAAATCTCTGTAGGCAAGCCAGTTTTTCCCTCAAAGATTTTAACAGCAGAGAGCTGTTACCAAATGTTATTAGCACAACCTTTAAGTAGACTTTTTTCTCCCAAACACATTCTGTATTCCTTGTAAAACATAAATAGAAGACAAAAAAAAGAAGCTGGACAAAGAAGAAATTCAACAATAGGCTGTCTAGCTATCAAGATATGAGGTAGTGGTGTCCTCTATTCAAGGTCAGATGGTATGTTAATAATAGGGAAAGAGAACCCGATTTTCAGATGTTCAGTGCTCTTGCAACACGTTCCAGAGTTCATTCAATACCTTGCACTGATGTAGTATGTCATACTTGTCAAGATATTCTTGCATACAGGGTAAAATGCCTACATGCACATTTGGACAAAAACACATCTCTGACACATTAGTACAAAATTTTGGGGGGAGGAGGGGATGAGGAGACTTAAATATAAGCTTTTTAAGGCTAATGTTGATTTTGAAAGTTCTAAGAACATTATATAGTCGTGAATCCTAGTCTGGTCAGTGATATTCGTACTAAGGAAAGAAGTTCCTAAGTTTATAATGGATCATAACATTCCACATTATATAAACACATAAAAGCCAATGTTAAAGTCTTGTTTTACCTGTTCTGTGGCTCAAAAGATCATTACTGAGATGTGAGAGATGGAATGAAGGACAAGGCTGTTATCAGATATTTTTTGGCCAATTCTCTAACCTCTTTATAATCATCCAGATGAAAAAGTTTTCTTCATTTGAGAGATGAAAGAGAATCAAAGATTATATAACTACACATTCTGTAGTCTGACATTGTACTTAGGCACTAACCTGTATATGACTCTGCTTTAAGGCCAAATAAAGTCCAGTTCTCAAATAACACTTAGAATTTATGATTCCTTAACCTTTGCTCAGCATTGTATCACAATGCTCTGAAGCAGCTAAAACACTCTTTTATAGGAGAAAGTGTGACTAAGAGTACAAAACCAGAAGTCTTAGGTGTGTACCTATGTCAATTTGCATAGACTTAAAATTTGCTGATGTAAATCCCAATCTCTATACTCAATATCCACAGAAAAGGACCAATATTCATTTTTCTCAAAGGAATTGACCATGAAAGTGTAGTGAACTAACAAAGAGCTTAAGGAATGTTTTACAAAAAGGGGGCTAACTGAAAATATTAGAACTAGACACAAGGTAAACTTTTGGAACTCTTCTGCACTTCGAAGTGACAATCCCCTAGAAGAGATAGAAGAGAGAAGTCAAGATAAAGACTCCTGACTTGTTTGAAACAAAAGCAACAAAACTAACTCATTATTATGAATGCGTAGATAAAAGAACAGATTCCATTCGAGGTCATCAGGACAACAGAGAACTTGTTCCCAAGGAGTAATCTCAGAGAAAAAGCATTTTAGCAAGGTTGGAAGCTCAAGGGGATAGGGGAGAAAAAGCATGGTTCATTGTCTACTAGCAGGTTGTGATGAGTGGAATTCAAGTAGGAAAGAGGATTGGACTCTGTGAGAAGACAGGTCAAGCTCAGAATCTGGACTGAACCTTGAAGACACCCGGTGTAATTACCTATTCCTCAATCAACCTGTACTTTATTGTGTTGTATGTGAGGCCATCTCAAATACCTGCAGGGTATTAATACAGCAGCAAGGTATAAATTAATAAACACAATTCACCTCCCTCCCAATTTAATAGATTTGCCAACGAGGGCCCAGAGGAAGTCACTTCCTAGGCCCAAAAGGGAGAAGTAACCTCCTAAGGCCATATGACTTGGGGATCCTAGACTCTTTTAGCCCTTTCCTCAAGGACTCCAGAGAAAGGGTGTAAATAATGAGGTTATAATTAGTATTGATTGTGTGCCTAAGTTCCGAGCATTATGGTAGGCACTTATTACATGCATGTTTACACAGAGATAAAATAATTTCAATTTTTAGGCCCTCCTTTTTTATTATGTGGGGTTTCTCTAAGAGAGGCATAGGCTTTAGAATCAGAAGGATCAAGCTTCTACCACTTAGGGTTTCCGGAAAAGTATTTTACTTCTCTAAGCTTGTGTTGCTTCTGCATTAGAAAAGGTGTAACATCACACACCACATAGGGTTGTTTTAAGGGTTAAAGGTTAAGTTATCAAACACAGGGTACGGCTCACAGTAGACACTCAAAAACTGGTAACTATTGTTACCACTCCAAAGGGGACATCTATGGTCGAGTGAGAGAAGCTGAAACCACCGTTCACTAGCTGTGGAACATTGTTCCTGTCGGTCAATCATCAATTTCCTAACAGCCTACTAAGCATCAAGCAGTGTGATGGGGCTATACGGATGGGCAAGGCAAAGTCTGAGCGGGAGGCCAACTTGTAAACAAATACTGCCATTACCAGGTGAAGAGCGCTGCAACGTAATTCGGTCCCGAGCACGAGGGGGCCAGGGGCTGCTAACCTCAGTTTCCCTATCTGTAGGGAAGGATCCAATGAGATGACAACAGAGAGGCTGTATAAAGCTTCAACGCTCACAGCACTGTTGTTGTGAATAATGAAGAGTATCAGAACAGAGGCAGGGGACCACCCGCCTCCTGGGACTGGATCTGGGTGGCAACAGCTTGGGCCCGCTCGCCCCCACAAGGGGCGGTGGTGCTGGGGACCTTCCCTCAGGTGCCGACCCCCAGCTGCGCCGCCGGTAACCCAGAGGCCAGGCTAGCCGCCTCCGCCCCCACTTGGCACTCCGCGGCGGAAGTGGCAGCCCGAGCGGTTGGCGGGTGTCGGAAGAAGAGGGCGGGGGGGGATACCGTGCGCAGCGGCCTGTGGCCGTGGAGTGGCGGGACCGCCGGGGGTCTCACCTGAAGCAGGGAGGGTCCTCCGACACCAGCACGCGGCAAGAGCAAGATGGCTGCCTCAGTCAAGACAGAGAAAGACGACGGCGGCGGCGGGAGCGGGGTCCACGTGACACAGTCGGGCCTCAGCAGAGCAGCCTATCCCGGGAGAGCATTGGCGAACTACAAATCCCAGTGTGCTCTGTGCCTCCCAATAGAAAGGCGGCAGGTGCAGGTGGCCGCGTGGCATTCTGGAGCTTGCAGTCTCCGAAGGGTTCAATTGTGTCTGAGCCTACAACACGTAGGGAGCCTAATAAAAGGGCAGTGTGTATTTTTGTTTGGGCGTGTACTTTGTCAGACGTCTTTCCCTAGGCATTAAGTAAACACTATCGGACTCCACTAGGGCGACACAATTAGTCTCCACTCAGGGAGAGAGATAAGAAATTTTGACCTGTTATGCATTAGAGAGGAAAACTCAGGAGAAACACTCAACCGACAAAGTTTAATAACTAAAACAAATAGATTCAACCGGAAGAAGCTTTGCGCTTGAAATGCCCGCAGTGACTTAATGTCCTGGATCCCTGAAGAGCTAGGTCATTTTTGCAATAAGAGATACCAAATTTGGTTTTCTCGGAACTTGCATCAGGTAGTTGCATAATCCCTGGGTGGAAGAACTGCAGTTGCAAGGAAAAATAAGGTGCAGTGCTTTTCCAGCAGGAAGAGGCATTTTTGCAAAGCACAGAGACGATGCATTGCAGAACAGGTTTGCCAGGTCTCTTCCAGACCCAAGCAGGAACCTAAGAATGAAATCCAGTTGTAGTCTTTTATATTTTGCGGCGGGGAACGTGGGACCCGAGGCCAATGGGCAACCCGCCACTGTTTGGAACGGCTGACTTCACCGATCAATAATTTGCGCTGTGAATATTAAGTGCAGCGGTTCTGGGGGGCGGGGCTAGTCTGCTGGTGGACGCGACCAGCAACGGTTCTGCAGAGTCTCCTCCCCACCCCCCACGATCACCACCCACCTTTTCCCCTCTCGGTCCTCCGGACTGAACATCCAGAATCTGGGGGAAGCAACTTAAGCTCGAGAGCAACACCCGTACCCTTCTACGTGAACTGCACCTTTAAACCCACTCGGTCCCAAACCGGACCCCTGAGGCACCACCCACATCCGTCTAACATCACTTCCTTCAGGGTTAGGAAAAAAAAAAAAATCTGGAAACGCGAGGAGTTGGGTTGGTTGACCGCACTTGGGAGACAGCGGGGACCTTCTGCTAGGACTCCGGCCCTGCTGCGTCTGATCAGCCCCGTGGTCCCGCGCATTTACCACCATGGAGCTGCGGCCTCGTCTCGGGGCCACCTGTTTGCTGGGCTTCAGTTTCCTGCTCCTGGCCACCTCTTCTGATGGACATACTGGGCTTGGAAAGGGTCAGACCGCGTTCTTATCTTAATCTTTACTCATCCTGGGTCCCAGCCGAGTATAACTCTCTTCTAGTCTTAACAAGAGTCTCCTGTCGTTCTGTCTCGTAGGCCACGCCAGATTCATTTTAACCCTCTCCAACCGCTCCTGGAGTTCGAAGATTTCTTGGGTTAGGGAGTAACGGGTCTGGGGAATGTTGTGATGGGGAAATTGTACTTGAGGCCTCCCTAAATTCTTGGGTTGGAGTAAGGAATGGTTCTTAAATTAGGAAAAGCATGTTTAAGAGCCCAGCATAGTGCTTAGCGCTCGGTAGATCCTCAGGAAGGTCACTTTCCTGCTAGGAGAAATAGGTCCTTTGGGGACCTGCCTATACGGAGACCCTTGCCGAGTCTGAAGATTCTCCACCTCACCTCTTCCCTGGAGAGCTAGGTTACCGCCTCCTCCTTGCCCTAAGGGGAACAGAACCTGCATTCCAGAGAGGAGTGACTGGTGCATAAGGAAGGGGTAGATGAGGGTAGAAGACCTGATGTTAAGAGGGGTCACCAACAATTGTCCTTCCTGTGGTTCAGTCAGTATGTTTGAAGAAAATGAATTTTTTTTCAGGACTGAGAGGACAGTGTTTATGAATAGAGTGTAGGAGATGTTACCGCTCCCCCAACCCCACCCCGACTCCCTCCCATTACCCACCTCTTCATTAGAACTCAGGGTTTATGCTTTTCTAAGTGGATGAGTAATAGCATGGATTCCCCTCCCCTTCTATTTTTTTTTGTACTGACCTTTCTGTATGGAATGACTGTGCTGCAGTCTTACTCTTTTAAATTCTGTTTTCTCTTATTCTCCCTATGTGTACATTTATTGGTGGGCGATGAGATTGGGTAGACATTCAATGTGCCTGAATACAGTAAACTCCTTCATTCAGTCAATCATTTTTTACCACCATTCCAGGCACTGTCTTGGGCAGTGGGGATATAGAGGTACACAGAACAGACAGGGCTCCTGGTCTCATGAGCTTTTGTTCAAGTCAGAGAGACAGAGAGTAGACCCATGAACAAATGAATAAGACATTTCAGCTAGGGATAAGTGTGGGGAAGATAATGAAACTGAGATGGAGTAGAAAGGCTGGAAAGGATGAGGGAGCTGGCATTACTTGAGCTAGGAAGGTCAGGGAACACTTCTTCGAGAAGGTAGTAATGTGGGTTTCCATCTCAATGATGAAACTGTACGGTAAATTCTCCTGGGCCAGAATTTTTAAATACTGGCAATCCCATTTAAAAAAAGATTATTGTATATTTAGCATAAAATTGTAAGTTTCAAGGGAGACAGAAGAGTATAGTGTTAGGAGTGTAGGTTTAGATCTGAGTTTTAATTTATTCTGCCACGAACCAGCTAAGAGGCCTAGGGCAAGTTATTTAACTTCTCAAAGCTTAGTTCCTCATTTGTAACAATGGGCATAATAACTACCTCAGACATCAACAAATAATTTACTCCGTTTCAGTTATTGTGTTAGGTGTAAGCAATCCCTTGGAGTCGTGTAGTCAGTATCTTTATTCCTTGTTAGACATTAAGCTCTGTGTGGTTATTCTAATTAGCATTGCTGCATAATAAACCACCCCAAAATTTAGTGACATAAAGAAATCATTTTATAATCCTCATGGTTCTGTAGGTCAGGAATTCAAACAAAGCACAGTGGGGAAGGTATGTTACTTGTTTCCGTGATGTCTGGGGTCTCAGTCGAGCTGATTACTTCTCCATGTGGTCTTTCTTCATGGACTAGTGTGGCCTTCCTTACAGGAAGACAGCTAGATTTAAAGAGTGAGTGCACCATAAGAACAAGGTGGAAATGCATAGCATTTTTATCATCTAGCTTTACAAATCACATAGCATCCCTTTCACTGTACTTTGTATGGGCATGTTCAATGGGGAGGGACATTCACTCCCCCCCACCCCTCCCGCAAGGGGGAATGGTTGAGTTCACATTGTAAGAAGAACATGTGGAATGAGATAAGTATTGTTGCAACCATCTTTGGGAAATGTATTCTGCCTCAGGAAGCCAGGACCATTTTTGTCTTATTCATGCTTAGGAATATTTGTTGAAGGAATGGTACTCAATGATCATTGTGGTCCTTGTCTTTTTTCAGCTTATAGTCTGAAGACGCAAGTAAAGTAAGCAGGCAATTGTGTGACACTGTGATATGTACTGTGAGCAGGGAAACACCAGATAACTAGGAGCACATAGGTGGGCAACTTGAGGCGGGGGGCTGTGTTGTGATGATTAAATGAAAAACAAAAGGCACTTAATATTATGTCACAAATTTGGAAAGTATTTAGTTAATGTTTATTATTATGTCCCTCCAAAGAATATTTAATTGTTCCTGAAAGGAATTAATAATATTTCAAACTGTCATTTCTTTTTTTTATCTCTTGGGTATGGATTCTTGGGAAATAGATTATAGACCACTCAGCCCACCTCCCAAAAAAGTGCTGCCCGAAGCAGTGGTTCCTGAAAATCTTGATGGGTAAGATTTCTTCCCAGATGTGTAAGTAGCTCTGGCTCTTTCCAGGAGATGGTTTGCAGACAGGAGAGACTGAATGACTCTACTGTTTTCATTAAGAAGAGGAAGTACAGGGGTGGAGTGTGAGCACTGGTTGGGAATTAGGAGGCCTGGGTTTTAACCCTGGTCAGACCATGTAGACAGCTATGGTCTTCCCTGGGGACTATTTCTTAAATGTGAGAGTTGGACTAGAAATGATGCCTAGAGTCCTTCCAGCTCTAACATTTTGGAGTTCTAAAATAATTTTGTTATTCTCCATGTGCTAAAGAATTTGGAATATATCACCTATGGGGAGAAGTGTAATAAGTAACTTTTATTGTATGCTTGGTATATGCCAGCACAGTTATGTGCATTTTTCACATGTTGGCTGATTTAATCCTCATAATAGCCTTCTGAGATGGATAATATTATCATCCCCATTTCACAGATAAGAACCTAGAATGGGGCACAGGAGTCACACAGCTAGCAAGTGGGCTAGCTGGGCTACAAATCTCAGAGCCAGTGCTCTTAACCAGTACACCACTCCTGCCTCGGAGTGCAGAAACTCCTTTGAGAACTTAAAGGAGAAATAAGAAAGCTGTCCGTAGGGGCAGTTCATGTGTTCCCCTGCCTGAAACAGAAATGGATGATTGTCAAGTCTCCGGAATAAAACTTTGACACTGATACATATGGAATGTCTGCCTTCCACACTGTGCTGTTCACATTCACAACAACTCTGTGCAATAGATATTTTTGTTAGGCATGTTTTGTATTTGTGAAAACAATGAGTGGCTAAACTAGAATTCCAACCCAGGCCTGTTTGACTGCAGACAGACTTTATTTAGCCACCATGTTATTCTACCTCTCAGGTACAGTGTTACCTGTTTTAGAGGCTTGGCTGCCAGCTCTGACACTTGAACTTTTGTTTCATCAGCTGGGAGGGGGAGTGGATAATACTACTTTTCTGATGTTTTTAGTTTACACTGATGAAAACAATTTTAGGATGAAGGGCTTGGGAATTCTGATGTAAATGCTGTGTTTAGAAATGGTCACTTTCCCTTTTTTTCCTTTTTTAATTAATGTTTTAGAGAAGGAGCTGCTGACGTGGGAGCCTTTAGCTCACTTTGCAGATAACTGGCATAAATTAAGTGGCTGTGCAGGTGACACTTCAGGAAATTGGACTCCCTTCAGATGTTCCACAGTGGCATGGGTGTGAGTGTGGGTGGTGTCCAGGAGTAGGTGATTTTAGTAACAAAGATAAACTCTGTACCCTTTCAAGTTATTTTGGAAGGGAAACAAAAGGACTCAGGTTTTCCAGGTCTGGAGACAATGTTTTCATTCCGCTTTGGTGAAGCCACATTCCTTCATTCATTTATTCATTTTAATCTTTGCTAGGGAGGCAGGCAGTAAAGCATTGTAAGTGGTTAAACTACAGATTCTGGAACTCCACCACCTAGGTCCTAATCCCAGGTCTGCCATTTCCTGGCAGTGTAATCTTGGGCAAGCTATTTAACTTCAGCTTCTGTATTTGTAAAATGGCAATAATTAGCGTTTCTACTTCATAAGTTTATTGTGAGGATTAAATAAATTAATATGTGTAAAAACTACCTGGCATGTACTAAATGCCATATGAATGTTAGTCACTATTAATATTGCTATTGTTATCATTATGTTATTGTAATTATCACATAAAGTAAGCACTCAAAAAGTAATGGTGGTGATTATTCCTATTATGAAAAATTCCAGTGTACTTTTTAATATGTTTTGAAAGAAATTTTGTACTCATAGTGAATTGTTCCAAATTACACCTCTGGACTTACTCTTAGGAATAATGCAATGGGGCAGCTTGGGAAGTGTTGGGGTACTGTGAAAGCATGTTAATTAGGAATCAGGAGACCTAAATTTCAGTTGTGGCTTCCTTTGTGGTCTTGGGTAAGCTCTGCCCTTTTCTAGGCCTTTGTAATATGAGACTAGTTGATCTCTAAGTTTGTTCTGTCCAATACAGTAGCACTAGCCACATGTCACTCTTAAATTTTAAATTAATTAAAATTAAATACAATTAAAAATTTAGCTCCTCAGTTGCATTAGCTGCATTTCAAGTACTCAGGAGCCACCTGGGGCTTGTGGCTACCGTACTGAACAGTGCAGCTATAGAACATTTCCGTCATTGCAGAAAGTTCTGTTGAATAATGCTGCCCGAGAGGGTCTCTCTGAGTAATAACCTGCTGTGGTTTGTCAGCTTTGTTAGCTAGTTCCTTAGTAGCCCAGGTTTATGGAGAAATTTTATTTTACCTGTTATTAATCTAGCTTCCCTGGCTTTCTTTTGGCTGACATTTGCCTGGTATATATTTTTTCAATCATTTTATTTTCAACTTTTATTAAGTCCTTCTGTTTAGGTGCTCTTGTAAACATCTAGTTAGGGGTTTTTTTTAACCAAAATTTGACCATTTTTGTCTTTTAACTCAACTGGCAAGTGCAATCCCTTTAAGTTTATCGTGATAATTGACAGAGCTGGTCTTATTTATCTCATCCAATTTCCAGTGCTACTGTTTTTTCTATGCTTTTTCTTCCCCTCTTTTTGTGCCCTTTCTTTGGGGGTTGAGTATTTGCTTGTTCTTTTTTTTTTTAATATTATATTAGTTTCATGAGTAGTATTTGCTTGTTCTTATTTTATCTCCTTTATTAGTTTGGAAGTTGGCACTCTAGCTTTCTTTTTAATGGTTACTCACAAAATTTTACTTGCATAGAAGGTCTGACAATTAAGTTTGTGAACTTGTTGCAACAATGTTGCTAACCTTTTTTGATATCAGAGGGATTGTTTATTATGAATTTGTACCAGCTTGACAAACAGTTAACCAAGTTTACAATTTGGAGGTGCTGAAATGGCTGCGTGAAATAGTTAGGCGACCTGAACTTTTTGCCAATTCATGGCTCTTGCATCATGACAGTGCACCAGATCACACGGCACTGTCTGTGAGGGAGTTTTTAGCCAGTAGACAAATAACTGTATTGGAACACCCTCCCTACTCACCTGATCTGGCCCCCAATGATTTCTTTCTTTACCCGAAGATAAAGGAAATATTGAAAGAAAGACATTTTGATGACATTCAGGACATCAAGGGAAATCGACGATAGCTCTGATTTTTCCATTCCAGAAAAAGAGTTCCAAAATTGCTTTGAAGGGTGAACTAGGTGCTAGCATTGGTGCATAGCTTCCCAAGAGGAGTACTTCGAAAGTGACCATAGTGATATTCAGCAATGAAGTTTGTAGCACTTTTTCTAGGTTGAGTTCACGAATTTAATTGTCATACCTCGTACTTAACAAAATCTAACATTAATATCTTAACCTCTCAAGGTTAAGAGGGCCCTAGAACATTTTAACTTCAGCTACTTCCTTCTTACTTTTAAGCAGTTATTTTCCAGCACTTTAGTTCTTTCTTTTTTTTTTCAACTCTACAAATTGAACATTAAAATTTTTTATACAGATAATATTTAGATTTATCTACATGTTTACAAGTTTATTTGCTCACTGTTTCTTGTATCTAGGCTGTCTTCTGGAATTACTGCCTTCCTTTATCCTTTTAATTTCTCTGGTTCTTTTCTCCTAGAGGAATATTTTATATTTCCTCTTATCTCTTCAAGCCTTCAGTACTTTCTCCACAATACTTGCTCTCAGCTGGTGACTGTGCTTCCTATTTAACGGGAGACAGAATCAGAAGAGGCCTTTCAAAAATTGTCACCACTACACTTACCCGCCTTCTAGCACCAGTGTCCATATATTCTTCCTTTCCTTTATTGGATCACCTATCTGTGCTCCTAGCGATTCTCATCCCTCTACTTGAGAACTAAATCCATCTTCTTTCACCTACTGAAGATATTTTTTATTCTCCTCTCTCATCTTGTATCATCAGTTTTTCTACCATTACTATATGAGTATAATTTTTATCAGCTTTCAATATCATATACTCTCCATGTTGAATTAAACTCAACTCACTGCTCACTCTAGCAATTTCCCCTTGTACAGCAAAATTCTTTGAAAGAGTTGTATGTACTAGTTCTCTGATTCTTCCCCGGACTGTCTTGATCTTGTGCTAATGCTTTCATCCTCACTCCCCTACTCTGTTGATACTGGTCTTGTGAAGGTCAGCATTGTTCTCTAGTTGCTAAATCCAGCAGTCGTTTCTGATTTGACAGGAATATTGGAGTCAGTTGACCATCCTTCCTTCTTGAAGCGTTTTGGATACACTTGGATTCTAGGACTCCATGCACTGCTGGTTTTCTGGCATTTCTTTCTCGTGGTCTTGGTTGGTTTTCTTTATCAATCCTAACCTGGGAGAGCTACAGGGTCTTGGACTCCCTGTCCATCTATACTCACTCCCTTGCTAATCTTATTCAGTCCCAGGCTTTAAATAACTTCCATATGCTGATAACTTTCCTATGAATTCCAGGTTCAGATATTCAGTTGCTTATTTAGCATCTCTACTTGGATGTTTAGTAAGCATCTCCACATGAACATAACCAAATCCAAACTCTTAATGTTCCTTTCCAAAACTCACTCCACCTGCTCTCTTTCCTATCTCTGTTAATGGCAGCTCCATTCTTCCAGTTGCCCAGCCAAAATCCGTAAGAGTCATCCTTAACTTTTCTCACCTTATATCCATACAAAATCCTTTTGACTTTGCCTTCAAAATACATCCAGAATTTGAAAGTACCTTACTCCCTGTAGCACCACAGCTAGTCCAAACCACCATCACTGCTTGCTTGGATTATTGCAGTAACCGCTTTACTAGTCCCTTTTGCTTTTACTTTTCTCACTTGTATTAGTTTGGTAGGGCTGCAAAGTACCACAAACTGAGTGGCTTACATAGAAATTTATTGTCTCACAATTCTGGAGGCTAGAAGTCCAAAATCAGTGTATCGGCAGGATTGGTTCCTTTAGAAGGCTGAGGGAAGGCTCTGTGCCAGACCTCTTTCCTTGTAGATGGCTGTGTTCTCCTTGTGTATATATCTGTGCCCACATTTCCCCATTTTATATGCAGACCAGTCATATTGGGTTAGGGCCCTCCCTGGTGACCTCACTGCCTCTGAAAATACCCTATAACTAAATAAGGTCACAATCTGAAGTACTGGGGATCAGGACTCCAATAAATATTTTTTGGGGAGAGACAGTTCAACCCATAACACTCCCTGTAGTCTGTTTTCAGTACAGAAATCAGAGTAATCCTGTTAAAACATAAATCACATCATATTACTACTCTGCTCAAAATCTTTTAAGAACTTATAATAAAAGCCAGAGTCGTTACAGTGACCTACCAGCCCCTGCATTGTTTGCCCCCTCTTTGCTTTTTGTCCTTACCCGCTTTTACCTTGAAGGACAACATTGTGCGGTGGTGTGGTGCTTAAAAGCAAGGAGTCTGGACCCTGACTGCCTAGGTTCAGATTCCAGCTCTGATACTCAGTAGCAATGTGAACTTGGTAAAGTTACTTAAACTTTGTGCGTCAGCGTTCTCATCTGTAAAATGAAGTGAATAAGAGTACCTACCTCTAAGGATGTTATGAGGATAAATATTTTAAAGTATTTAGAGTAGTGCCTGGCATATTAAATTAATAGCAAATGCTTGTAGCAATTCTCCAGGCCCAGATACTGTTCTAAGCTCTTTAATGTATTCATTTATTTCTTATAGCAACTCTACAAGGTAGCTGCTATTGTTATCCTTATTTACAGCTGAGGAAACTCAGGTTAAGTAACTTGCTCAAAGTCACACAGCTAGTAAGTTGCAGAACTAGGATTCAAACTCAAGGAGTCTAGGTCCAGAGTCCATGCTCTTAACCACTACACAATGCTGCTCAATTAAAATTTATTTATTGATATAATGAGTGATGAATACCTGATGGTGAGAAAATATCTCAGTTTAGGTGCTATAGCCTGAAAATCTTTGTAAGTCCTGCTACAAGAGTTTGACCTTTCTTTTTAGAGCATTGGTAAGCTTCTGGAAGGTTTTTACCCAGCAGGGATGTGATTTTAAAATATCACTCTGGCTGAAGTGTGGGGAATAATAAGAATAGCTTTAAATACATTATCTCATTTAATCCTTATACCAACACTTGGAGGTAGGTATTATTATCTTGATTTTATCGATGAAGAAATTGGGACTTTGAAAGCCTACTTCAATTATGAAATTTACATATTTCATAGGACGTGGACTCACACACCCATGTCTTTCTGTCTCTAAAACTGTATTGCTGTATTGTCTCCAGCTAGTATGATTTGTTATGACCTGCTTTATGTTTACTCTGTGGAAAATTCTCATTCACTCTTATAGTATTATTTGCATACTCTGTGTTTACAAAGCACTTCATAGCCATTATTTAATTTAATCTCCTTAAAACTATGACTAGGCAGTGTTATCTCCATTTTACAGGTCTGAAAAGTGAGGCTTGAGGTCTGGGACTATCCATAGTCCCATATACCCAGAAAGTGGTGAAACCATGCTCTTGACAGAGGAGAGCCTTCTTTATGGTGAACATGCCATACTTCTTTCTTGGGTTTTTGCCCTTTGTTCATGTGTGAATGTTTATAAAGCTCTTTCCTTCCAGGTTTTGGAGATCACATTCATTGGAGGACATTAGAAGATGGGAAGAGAGAAGCAGCTGCCAGGTATAAGATATGGTTTTAGGTTATTGATGATGGTAAAACGCTTTCTAGACATCAGCTTAGCATTAATTTCAGGTGAAGGTCATGCCAAGGCAGAGCAAGAACTGCATAGTTGCCTGATTTATTAAGTGCTTTCTATGCACAAGACATTGAATTATGTGAATTGACTTATTTAATTTTTACAATAACTCTTTTGAGGTGGTACTGTTGTTACATTCATTTTACAACAAGAAAACTAAGGCACAGAGCAGTTAAGTAACTTGCCCAAGATCATACAGCTAATAAGTGGTGAAGCCAAGATTCCGATGTAAGCACTCTGGTTTCAGAGCCTGTACTCAACCAGTAAACCATACTGCCTAATAGTCTGACATTAAATAGTCTCAGGTCCAAGTGGGTTTAGTTTTTGCATGGACAACTGGTACAAAGGGAGAGGAAAAGGTAGAGAAGAGGATGGGAGGCTAAACACTGAGCTCAGTGCTTTACATGCATTAATTTATTTAATCCTCACAACCTATGAGGTTGGTTCAGTGTGTGAAATAAGAACTGTTATTATTTTACAGGAGAGGAATTTGAGATATGGAATGGTTAAATAACTTGACAATGGTGTACACAGCTTGGAAGTGGCAGAGCCAAGACTTGAATGTTTTCTACTATACTGTACTAGAGAGACACAAAAACCCAATATATATGCACCTACTTTATACATACACGCACTTGCACAGAAACACTCACACTTCTGCACCTACCAAACTGTAGTGCTTGCTTATGCTAGAGCAGATCCTGTAGCTTCATAGCTGAGTCTCCGCATGCAGGAATAAGGTTGCCAGATTTAGCAAATACAAGTAAAGGATGCCCAGTTAAATTTGAATGTCAGGTAAACAAGCAATTTAAAATATGCCCATGCAATATTTGAAACATACTTATATTAAAAAACTTTTTTTTGTTATTTATCTGAAATTCAAATTTAACTGTTTTATCTGGTAACCTTACCCAGGAGAAAAATTCCTATTTTTCAAGTTCTGGAACAAATGACTATTCCTAGATAAAGTCTTCAGAGATTTTTCTGGGCAGTTTGTTTTTTCTTTTCTGTGCTTTTACAACCCAATCTACATCTACCCATTGTAGTATATGCTATTCTGCTTGGAGGGGCCTAACTTCCCATTCAGACCCTTGATCTCGTTTGGGGCAACTGTTTTATTGTCATCTCTAAATCCCCAAACATGGAGATGTTGAATGATTGAAATGGTAGTTGAATAAACAGATACTGGGAGTCATTGCCTGTGAGGAATGAAGGGGAACTAGCATTTGTGAATTGTCTGCTATATGCTTAATATAGTGGCGATTGCGCTATTTAATGTTCATTAAGGCCCCATTATAAATGGATGGGCAGAGTCTTTTGCCGCAGGGAGATCACATTCTCCTGAGGCCTATAACATTTGACATAAATAACCGATGCCATTCTAGTTCCCATCTTCTTTCTGAGAGAGCAGGACTTGGGTCTTGTTGCCATAGAGCTCCTTTTTCCATAGCAACAGGAGGTCCTTTAAGAGTCAAGGAAGGCCGGAAGTGCAGTTTGCATTTCCGTTTGCGTCGGAGACGCCGGCAACCCGGAAGTTTACGTGCGTGGTTGCACATGGCCGCGCCCTGGAAAGATGCCGCTGGTGGTGTTTTGCGGACTGCCGGGCAGTGGCAAGAGCCGACGCGCGGAGGAGCTTCGCGAGGCGCTGGCAGCCGAAGGCCGCGCGGTGTACGTAGTGGACGACGCGGCTGTGCTGGGCGCGGAGGACGCGACTGTGTACAGTGATTCAGCCCGTGAGAAGGCATTGCGTGGAGCCCTGCGAGCCGCGGTGGAGCGGCGCCTTAGTCGTCACGATGTGGTCATCCTCGACTCGCTCAACTACATCAAGGGCTTCCGCTACGAGCTCTACTGCCTGGCGCGGGCGGCACGCACCCCTCTCTGCCTGGTCTATTGCGTACGGCCCGGCGATCTGAACCGGGGACCTCGGGTGGACACGGAGGAGAACCGGAGCCTGAACGTCAGTGTGAGTTGGCAGCCGCGCGCGGAGGAGGGAGGAAGACCTCTGGCAGCAGGCACCCGTGTCCTCGGGGAACCGCAAGCAGCGGACTCTGTAGTAAATGGGAGAGCCCAGGCAGACGTACCTAAGGAACTGGAGCGATTGGAAACCAAGGCTCCAGATCTTCCAGCTCTCGTGACTCCGGAATTCGAAAAATCTGCAAAACATGTGTCCAGTGCCTTTTACCCTCCCGAACTTCTGGAAGCCCTAACGCTGCGCTTCGAGGCTCCCGACTCTCGGAACCGCTGGGACCGGCCCCTGTTCATTTTGGTGGGCTTAGAGGAGCCGTTGCCTCTGGCAGAGATCCGGGCTGCCCTGTTTGAAAACCGGGCTCCTCCACCCCATCAGTCTACACAGTCCCAGCCTCTTGCCTCTGGCAGCTTTCTGCACCAGTTAGATCATGTCACTAGCCAAGTGCTGGCGGGACTGATGGAAGCGCAGAAGAGTGCAGTCCCTGGAGACGTGCTCAAGCTTCCTGGCATCACGGAGCACCTTCGGTTTACCCGGCCCTTGACCATGGCAGAACTGAGTCGCCTCCGACGCCAGTTTATTTCCTACACCAAAATGCATCCCAACAATGAGAACCTGCCTCAGCTGGCCAACATGTTTCTGCAGTATCTGAGCCAGAGCCTGCACTGACCAGAGTGGGTAGGGGGGAAAGCCATTGCTCCTTATCTAACCTCCACTGCACTGTTTCTCTCTGCGAAGAATAACCTGAGTGTCTGCTGAGCATATTGATGTGTGGTAGTAGAGCTACGTGTGACTGATTCACTCACGCTTTCCTGAATGCCTGTGTGCCAGACCTTGGTTTGGAAGATCTTGGCAAATTTCTCCAGAAGACAGAGCTCAGGTGGACAGGGCTTGCTTAGATTGGATTCTACTTGGGATATCACATAATATTGATTTCCCCCAATCTGAACTGTGGGAGAGCAGAATGGATGGATGGATTGTTTAAAATAGTTGTGAAGAGAAGCTGAAGACGGCACAGTTCTGCATCTGCACTGGCCTTCTTACATACCACAAATAGTTTTTTTGAGTACTGTTCCTAAACTGTTTGCTTGTTTCTATCCTGGGGTCTGGGGTCACAGATCAATCCACTGGTTTCTGTCTTTGGGAAGCTTTGCTTCTAATGGAAGTGAAAAATATAATCACTAGATTATCTTATCTAATAAAATTATTAGATCTTTCAGAAGAGTTGGCTGGAATCTCTTTCAATTAATGTAACTTAATGTCCTTCATGTAATTTACTTAATGTAACATTTTAGATACACATGTACTACTGTTTTGCCTTTGAAATAGTACTTCAGTAGTGCTTAGTGAGAAGAATAGATGTCTGTAACTTGTGCTTCATTCTGTATATCAAGGAAAATGTCACTTTAAGCTTGTCTTTCATTCTTTTCATTAATTTCATTAAACAAATGGTAGTTACCTACCTTACCAGGGCTTGCGATTTTCAAAGATAAATTAGGTATGATCTTTACCCTTGAGAAGTTAATAGTTTGGTAAACAAATAATTACAGGATGTAAGGGGCTGGTGATTAGAGGATCATCACAGAATACTTTGGGAGCCCAGAGGAGGAAAGGACTAACTAGCTGTTGAGAGAAGGTGGTTTTGCAAAGGCTTCACAGAGGAATTAATATGTGAACTGTCACTCTAGAACAAGGGTCAGCAAAGGGCCACATATCTTAGGCTTTGTGGACCACAGGGTCTCTGTTGTAGCTTATCAGCTCTGCCATTGTAGCACAAAAGCAGCCATAGACAATAAGTATAAAAAAGAGTGAATGTGTTTTAGTAGAACTATATACACTGAAATGTGAATTATATTTAATTTTAACATACACAAGGCACTATTCTTTAGACTTTTTTTCATCCATTTAAAAATGTGGAAAAAAAAATTTGTATTTCACAGCCCTACAGAAGTAGGCAGTGGGCTGGCTGGATTAGGTCTGCCGATTGTAATTTGCTGACCTCTGTTCTAGAAGGCTGAATAGGAGTTTGCTTGGAAGAAAGGAGGGAGCAAGACATTCTAAACTACCCTGTAAGTGCATGAAGCTGCTAAAAGGATGGGCTGCCTTGGTTGGTGATGTATTTCTTGCTCATCAGGCAATCTGGACCACTTTTTGTTTCTGATACATGAGAGAGGATTCCTGCATGAAATGGAGATTTGGACTAGGAAATCTCTAAAGTCGTTTTCCAACCTTCATTCTCTAATTCTGAGTTGGTTGTTGGTTGAGTTGGGTATAAACCCATGAATTCTGGATTGCCATTCTCGAAGTAGACAATATTCAGAACAGTAGTTTTGGAGTCAGGCTTATGAATTAGTAAGTGGCAGAACCTGGATTTTCTGTGGCCAAATATTTAATCTCTTGAGAGTCTCAGTTTTCTCATTTTTATTAGAAGACCATTAATATTTACCTTAGGATTGTTGTGAGGATTTAAATGCAGTGATGCATATAAAGCACATAGCACAATGTTGTATAATAAATGTTTAGCACATGTTGGCTATTAGTATATTTACCTAGATCCCACTTCTCACCTAAGCCTGCTTTGCTCATTTGGTTTATAAGCTTTTACAAGTATTAGAGGCAGAAGTCCATCCCCAATTAGTAGTAAGCCTGTGATAAGATAGCTTCATCTGACACTTATTAAATTAATTAGTTTATGTATATTTAGAATAGTGCCTGGTGCATAGTAATTGCTATATAAGTGTGTTTGCTATCAATATTATTGTATGTGCCAGGTGTAGGGGATATAGAGACAGCTAAGAGTTCCTTCTTTTAGGAAGCTCCAAGTCTAATGGGAGGAGATGGGTAAGTAATAGATGTAGTTCAGTGTAATAAATGCATTGTTATACAGAGTTATGCTGGTATGGTGATATGGGAATCGGATTATGGTGCTTACCTAGTTGGCAAGTTGGCATTTGAGCCTTGAAAGCTTAAAGAGCATCTGGCTAAGACTGGTTCAGGTGGATTATATTTCTCATTATTTAAAAAAGAAAAAAGCTTTTTCCTCCGTGATTATAAAAATTACATTTAATCATAGAAAAATTGGAAATACAGAAAACGTATAGCAAAATACATAATCCCATTATCCAGTGATAACTGCTATTTTGATACATTTTCTTTGGGCTCTTTTCTCTATACATATTTGTATAATTAAAACCAAACTACAGATAATATTCTTATATTCTAGTTTTTAATTTAACATTATACCAATGAAAATTTGTAACATTTTCAATGGTTATCATAACATTTAGAAATACTGTAATTTGATATTTTCTTCTCCAGCCTTTTCTCCCTAGCATTAAAGCCCAAATTTGCAAAATTTACAGCAATATCAAAACTTACCAATCATTTTGTTGTAATCTGTTATTGAGTAGGTTGTATTAAAATTTTCCCACTTGAAATCATACTACATGAACGTCTTTGTACACTTGTCTTCATAAAGTGATCATTTTATGAGGATAGATTTCGAGTGGAGTTACTAGATTATAATTGTCTTGTTTTGTTTTTAAGTGGATTGCCCCTGATGGTGATTATTCATAAGTCCTGGTGTGGAGCTTGCAAAGGTAAGTACAAATGATCAAACCTCAGATGTGTTCTCAAATATTAACATTTAAAAAATATGAGCAGTGACTTTGGCCCAGCACTGCTGATTGCTTCAAAGGAATACCAAAGAAGTATATGACATAGATTTCCTGCCCCCAGAAATTTGCAGTTGCATTTTCAAGGGGATGGAGGGTGAGGCAATTAAGTAGAGTATGGGATTAAGTGCTACAATAGTCATGTGGGTAGTAAATATTTAGAGGAAGCTGAAGGTGACAGAGACATGAGAAGTGGCTAGAGAAGTCTGGAGGAGGTGAGAACGAAATTAGAACCCAAGGTTATTTTACTTTGTAGCATGTATTCTTTCTGCTATATCAGCCTGCCACTTCCCAGTCCGATTTTTTTCCTTTTGTTTGGTATATTACACTTAATAAAATCCTAGTTGGAAAAGGAATATAAAATTAGTGTAAGTAATTCATGTAATAATATATATACATCAGTGGTATTGTTACTATGTTGTCTGTTCTTTGATAGAAGTTATTAAAATGTGTAAAAAAGCAAATAGTAATATTTTTTTTCATTTGTATGCCATTATCCATATTTTATAAATGAGGTAAAAGCTTCAGAGAAATGAAGTTGACTAACTCAAGGTCACATAAGTAAAGTAAGTGGCAGAAGTAGGACCAGAATTCAGGTGTCATGATTTCTAGTTCTAACGATTAAAAAAGAAAAAAAGGGTTCTGTGAATCAACTCAGTAAATCAGGGCTTGGATATAACAATGATGTTTCTTCTAATCCAAAATCTTTTTTTTCCCCCTAGCTTTAAAGCCCAAATTTGCAGAATCTACAGAAATTTCAGAACTTTCCCATAATTTTGTTATGGTAAATCTTGAGGTAAGACTTCCAGAGTTTCACCTTTCTATGATTTTCAGTCTTTACTCTTTTAGAATTACCATCATTAATGGTGTAAAGTCTTATTCAGCAGAGTTGGCTGTATTGATGTGTTTTTCTCTTGACCTTTAGTACTAAGGCTTGCATCAGATATGGTAGAAAGCCATCCAGCTTCCACTTGTGGGAGGAACTAGGGCAGAAGGGCTTGGATAAGGTGGCTAAATTTTAAGGTCCCATCATTCTTAGTCTGTGATTATGACATGTTTTTACATCTTTGTGTAGTTGAACTAAAGGTATAGTCACACATACAGCCCACAACTCCCTGCAAAATGTAATTCAGTTGAAAACTTACTCTGTGCTGGGCTTATATGTACAACATCCCTATTTCTTCATTAGATATCCTTTATGTACTTCACATAGACCAGAGGTCTTGGAATCCCAAATCAGAATATCAGATCTTAGAGTTAAGAGGGATTTTTAGGCCGTTGGTGCTATCCCCATTTTATAGAAAGAGCATCTTCGGCCTGAAGGAGTAAGTGATTTAGTCAAGATCATAGAGACTGATAAGGAATAAGAATAGGTACAGTGGCCTCCCTGTGCTGCCTTTTAGGCTGCACTCGTCAAATGTGAGATGCTTGGATGCTCTATGATGATACCCCTAACCCTAAATTTCTGTAAAATTACGTTTACTTAAACATAGTACTGGAAATTTTCAGAAAACATTAACAGTTAATGTTGAGTCAGCTAAGGGATGGCTTATATTAGCTGTTGAATAGTTGAATGCTGATATGCCTCACTCAAGGCAAAGTTATATTAAATGAAGAAATGACCCATTTAACTTCTGAAATGGAGACTGCACCATAAATGACAAAATTGCTATTGATTCCTATGCATATGAACTCCTGACCACTCTCTGTGGTAAGTTAGAATCACCTCTTAAAGGAAACAAATGTCTTCAGTGAGCATTCTCCAACTTTGGAGAATTTCTTAAAGAGAAAACTAATTATGTGGTCATATCTCCTGGAAGGAGTATAACTCCACAGTTGTAGCTAAAACATCAGTCTCATTAATTCATGCTTTCAAGAAATACTGCGTGCAAGTCAGTGATGTAGGTATTGGGAATCAGCAAAGAACAAAATAGACAAAATCCCCTGCCCTCATTGACATTGCATATGGGGGCTTGAATATGGAGAGGCAGATAATTAAGTAAAACAGATCAGTGGTGGTAAATGCTATGGCTAAAAATGAAGGGTGGAGGGGATAGTCTGCAAAGATGGTTAGAAAAGAAGGTGACATTGAGCAAAGATTTGAAGCAGAAAAGGGAGTGAGTGTGTGGATAATGGAAGAGTTCCAGGCAGAGAGTAAAAATGTGTACAAGAGCCTGAGTCAGGAGCGTGCCTGGCTTGTTGAATGACAGCAATGGCAAGCAGGTTAGTGTGGTTGCAATGGTCTAAACAAGGGGTAGGAGATGGAGTTAGAGAGGTGTCCAGGTGGCAGATCATGGAGGGCCTTTTAGGCCACTGCAAGGACTTGGGGTTTTATGCTCAGCAAGAGAGGAAGCCACTGAAAGGTTTTGAGGAGAGAGGAGACATGATCTGACTTAAGGTTTACACTTCATAGGATGAAGAGGAACCTAAGGATGAAGAATTCAGCCCTGATGGGGGTTATATTCCACGAATCCTTTTCCTGGGTAAGGCGGAAGATCTTAATTTGGCGCTCCGTGATGTGGAAGGAGAGAGAAATGAATCGAGGCACTGAGTCCACCTAGTGAAACTCTGCTAGGATGGCTAAAAACAAAGGCAAACAAAAACCAGTTTCAAGAGAGAGTGAGGGGAGCTCTGAATGCTGGAACTTCAAGTCTGAAGGAAAGCTTTTCCCATTAATTAACTGCTTTTGTGAACAGTGACAGAGGATTGATCATCCATTTATTCACTCAGCAGTCATTTGTGCATCAGCCATAAGTCAAGCACTGCAGGGACAGAGATAAGCCACATTTCCACTATAGTACAGCTGAGGCAATGGAATACTATAACCAGACAAATGTCTTTCTGCATTTTTATAAAAGATATTTCACGACCACCTAATCTTAACATTCTGCTAACTTCTGTGGGGGTTGCAAATGAAAGTACAGGATCCCATCATCATCAAACAGAAAAGGAACATGTCAGGAAGAGGCAATAGCCTATGCCAGGGCATGGGGGGAGGGTGGCGGTTGGGTTCAGGGAACAACAAAGGGTTCAGTATGACTGCAGCATAAAACAAGGGGGTGGGTGGTGAGATCATGGGCTGCAGAGATGGGCAGCCCTCGTTTCCCAGAAGGCCTAGTGTACCGTACAGTGTTTGAAGCACATCTCCATTGTAATTATTGCAACCCCTGTGCCATTTTGTCTTCAACAGATCCCAGTGGCAAGGTGCGTCCTGAAATTATCAATGAGAATGGAAACCCCAGCTACAAGTATTTCTACATCAGTGCTGAACAAGGTATGGTTCTGTTGAGAGGGGAAGGAGGTATGCTGCTAGATTTAGCTATGATGAATTACATACAAGGTCAATGATGGGAAACTCAATTCACCATGTTAGCTGAGCATCTCCTGCATGACTAGCTTTTGGCCAATCCTGTGTGACATATAGGAGAAAGATAAGACTGAGCCCCTTCCCTAGCTGCTTACAATCCAGTTGGGAGCCAACTGACCCACAGGAAACTGAAGAACTGAGGCTCCCAGAGATAGTCATGTGCCCATAGTCACAGAGCCGAGATTTCAGTCCAGAACTTAGTTTTTATTCACTGTGCTGGTGCTGCTACTCTTGTAAGAATTCAAAGGAGGGGCATGCTAACAATTAGCTAATCGAGCCTAAAGGGTTTCAAAGATAGTAAACCTTCACTGAACCTAGAAGGATAAGAATTTGTCTCTATGGACAGATAGGAGGACATCTGAAGCTACGGAAGCAGGGACGGGGAATGGGGTGTGGGTGTGGGGGGTGGTTGTTGTAGCCCAACATGGAGAGTCCTGAAGGCTTGCTAGAGGAGATGATGACTGATTGAGTCCTGAAGAATGAGACTAGCCAGCAGAAAAATGCAAAAGGGTGTTCCAGGCAGAGAGAACAGCATCAGCACAAGCGGTGAAGGAAGGTTGAAATTATAAGTCAGTCATGCCATTTTGTTCTCTAATCCTTGAGCACAATCATTCTAGAGGCGGGTTGCAACTCATGCCATGTACTGTCACTGTTTTCCTTTGGAAATTCCCCCTGCCATCTATAAAAGGGGGTTGTTTGCCTTGTGTCCCCCATTGCCATGCTGCCAGATTATTGATCACATTATGTTTTGACTCCTTGAGACTCTATTTCTCAGAATAGGGAGAGGAAGGAGATCTGGAAAGGTTATCCTCTCCTTCTCGTCTTCTTACCCATGTGCAGATTACTGGAGTTTGGTATTACAGGGAAATTTTCCACATGGAGGACAGCTGGACTTTAGGTCCCCAACTCTTGGCCCTTGAGCTTCACCTTCACTTTAGAATTTTGTCCCTGTTACCACCGCCATCTCCATGCTGGCATCATCTTTCAGCACATTAGTCCAAATGTGGGCACAAGACCTTTGCCTGAATCCCCCATGCCTCAGCTGACATGAAACTGGAACCTATAAACCTTTTTGACTAAAGGCTTAGGCAAAACAAAGGAAATAACACGCTATCACCTGGCTGGTGTGAGGTGGTATAGGGAGCCTGTACCCAAATAGCCGCCCTCCTTGAAGTTTAATTGCACAAGAGGAATGCTCTGAAATAGACAAGAAGTCACATGTCTCATCTACCTAGGGCCTTCTTTCCAGGTTTCTCTTTTGCCTGAGAACTTGGCTTCTTCCATGTATATTTGATATTAGGAGTGACCACCTTCCTCAGTGAAGACCATCTCCCCTTCTAGCACATACACACACTCACATATCAGTGTAACCTGTAACCTTTACAGGAAATTAAATAAATACAGCATTCATCCAAAAATTATAATGGAGATGGTAGGAAGGTATTTTCTATTCCCTTAGTGTCAAGTGAACAGGTATAATCTAATCCTGGAGGTTAAGCAAAGTTACTGCTAACATTTTTGTAGGACTTCATGGTTTACAAAGCACTTTTAATATTCATTGTCATTTAATTTTACAATCTTGTGTGAAGTAAGTAGCATTATCTCATTTTATAGATAAGGAAACAATACAAAGAGATAAAATGACTTTTCAGGGCTAAAATCCAGAACTAGATCTTGAGTCCAGATCCCGTGCTCCTCTGCTATGTCTCCTAAAACATAAAAATCTATATTGGTTGTCAAATGTCAAATATTAAAGATCTACTTTTCCCCCCCAACCTTTATTTCACAGTTGTTCAGGGGATGAAGGAAGCTCAGGAAAGGCTGACAGGTGATGCCTACAAACAGAAACATCTAGAAGATGAGTTGTAACAGCAACCTATCTCTTCCCTCCAAGTTAGTGTTCTGGGAGAAAAGCAGCAGGGAGGGAATATTGAGGAACTGCTCAGAACAATTAAACCAACCAGGTAACCTTGCTCCTGCCTCCACGGGAAGGAACTCGCACTGTGGAAGAATTCTGCTCAGCGAAGCTGGACTCCATGTTTGTGGATCAAGCAAAGTGTGGCGGTCTTCCTTCTCTTGTCCCCCTTCACCTAAATGTCTGTTGTTGAATGTAGACAATGATACTTTTTGACACAAAACTTGAGCCATTTGGAGGTGTACTCCTCACTTAAGTGTTTAAATCTTTACATTTCCTCTCACGTGACTGGCCTTGGTGGTGAAAGGAGACCAGGAGCATCTTTTCTACGTCAAAATTGCTGAAATCACTTCTCATTTAAAACAACAAATCCTTAATGTGTATCAGTCATTCTGCCCCCACCAAGGAGACCAGCCTGTTTTTATTCTCTTTTTCTTCTGCGAATAATCTTGGGCTTCTTCCATGAATCCCTGCAACTTCCTTCCTCTCCTCCTGCTTGGGCCTCCCTGTTTGCAGGCATGCGTGTGCAGGAATGGCTGTGTGCTTAGACCCAGCCCCAGCTGGAAGCATGCTTTTCCTGTTACTGTTGGAGAAACTCAAACCTTCAAGCCCGAGGCGGAGCCATTTTTGTCAAGTTGTCAACTGTATTTTTGTACTGGGGTTAACAAACATAAAATATTAATTGTTCTATTAAACTTTAATAAAATTTTAAAAGGAAATGTGCTATGGTGGTCTTTTTGTTATTGAAGAATGGAAGGAGGGACGGAGGTCAGGAAGAAAACTAACCTTGAAGGCTTAATGTAGGACTCCAGTTTCCACATTCAAATGAATGGGTCAGAGTTTATCTCTTCTACTTTTTAAATAGCTGCATCCCCTCCATCCTCACTTTCACTGTTTTAGCGCAGAGCAGGCTTTTTGTATTTCCTAGACTATTGTGACAGCCTCTTGTCTGCAACCAGTATTCTCTCCAATCCATCCTCCTTGCTTTCCAAAACAAATGTGACTGTGTCATCCCCCTGCTTAAAGCCTTTCCTGCCACCTTCAAGATAACGTTAGGAAACATATGGGCCTCAGTATATGCCATGCCCTCTTGTAAGTGCTCTGTGTGTGTCATTCTACTTCATTTGCCTTTAGTCCTAACAGCCCTGTGAGAAAGGTACATTATAATCTCCGCTTACCAAGGGGAGAATTTGAAGTATATGATGACACCAAGGCACAGGATGGAGTCATGATCTTTATTTACCACGGCCTTTGAGAAGCTGCCTATTTCATCATGATTTGTTCCCATTCATCTCCTTGCATTTTGTGCTGTGGTGACACCCAGTTGCTTCAAGTTCCCCTCACAACGTGCTCCTTGATGCTTTTGTGCCTTTGCTTGGCTTGCTTCCTCTGCCTAAAACATCTTTTTACTCATCCTTTCCATTTGGAGCCATCTCTTGCGAAGTTGTTCCTGACCTTTCTCAGAAGAATAAAATGCGCCTCTCCTAATACACCTATCTTGGTTCCACCCCGCATTATATTGTAGTTAACCTATTTGTACATCTGTGACTGTAACCAAATGGCCGTTCTCCTCTAGGGCAGAGGCTATTGCTCTGTTCTGTGTACCAAGGTCCCAAAACAATGTACTGTCAAGTGAATAGTGGTAGGCTCCTACCTACCACTATGGTAGGTTCCTTTCATCCATTCTCTATATTCCGTCAGTTGTCCTATGGGATAGGTATTATTAACCTTATTTTATGGAAAAGGAGACTTTGGAGATGGAAGTGGCTTGCCCTCAGTTTCTAGATTAAATACGGATTCTAACCATCCCTACTTTACTCCAAACTCATGCTTTTCCCACCACACATTATATTACCTCCTTTATGTTTAAGGTGTAACTCAGAACAGGAGTTTTCAGTCTGGAGTACATAAAGACTTTACAGGGCCGGCCGAGTNAGGTAGGTAATATCATGTCATAGATAAGGACACTGAGGCTCTGAGTTTAAGTGACTTGCCCAAGTCCATACATTGAGTTACTGGGAAAGCTGGGACCAGGAGCCAGCCTTTTTGTTATGCTAAAGCTGCCACTCCAAAATCCGTTCTAATTCCAGAAATCTAAGAGTGTAAACAGCTGCATCAGAAAAATGAAGACCAATAATATCACATTTACATTGATAGTCTGGCACATAGGAAATGCCTGATAAATGTTTATCGAAAGGAGTAACATGCCCTAAAGATTTACTATAGGTCTAGTGTTGACAGGTTGTAAGGATGGATACAACTCAGCTTGTTCCAGAAAGGGAGGCAAACAGTTAATTATAAAACAAGCTCAAATATTGGAGCCCAGATCAGGGAGAGTGCAGCTGAACAAGATTTGACTGCAGAAGTAAATTAAAAAGGCCAGTGTAATAATATTTATTGAGTACCTCCCATGGGCCAGGAAACCATGCCAGATTATTTACATATGGTGACTGCTCATTCTATTGGGTTGTCGGAAAAGTCATAACGCATTTTTGCCACGAAAAACAGAAAAAATACGTCATGACTTGTCCGACAGCCCAACTTTTGTACCACAGCTCTGTGAAGTAGGTGATATTTTCTCTACTGTAAGGTAAAAACGCGGTGGCTTAGAGAGGCAATATGACTTGCCCAAGAATTCAGCTGAGGCATAGAGCAGGGATTTTGAACTTTCCCATAACACTGCGTGGTACTAGGTCTAGTCGCAGTTGTTAGCTATGAGGCTTGGGAAAATCCTCTTCATTTCTGGCTCTCAGTTGCCTTCTTGATCAAATGGGAATAATAATTTCTGTCCTTTCAATTTTATCTCCCAGGTTTATTTAGAGGATAAAAAAAGATGAAGGACATGAAATTGAGGTAATGCTCAAATCTGTATTTCAGTAAAGTTACTGTTTGACCAACAGTTCCATTTCTAGGATCTCTCCTAAGGAAATAAGTAGGAAAGTGAATAAATATTTATGTCAAGAAATGGTCACTGTTGTTTAATATGTAACAAGGAAGAATAAAAAAACAAGTGTATAACAAAAAATTGGTCATATGACCCATAGGATGGACACATCCTATAGGCTGGACTATAATGTAGTCAATTGAAATGATATTTATGAAGCATTTTAAAGTCTCAGTAAAATATTTATGACCTAATGTTAAGTGAAAAGGAGCAAGATATAAAACTAATGAAAGTATGATCTTAGCTATTAAAATATACATAGATGATATAGACTAGAATGTATAGTACTTATTTANCCCACATATGAGGGCCAGTGACACTGCCCTCCACAGCTAAGATGCTGAACAACAGCTCAACCTGGAGCTGGGCTGCCGTGAGTCGCCGGTGATGGCAGGTGGGTTGCCATGGGCTACTGTGTATAGCCACCAGCTGCGGTGAGCGGCTGTCCAGAAGCCGGCGACTGATCTTCCTTGCCCGGGAAGAGCGCAATGATGGTGCCAACTTGGGCCAGTGAAGCAACGTCCTCAACTAGACTGAAGAACAAAAGGACAACAGCTTGTCTGTTCCCCTTCCCCCAATTCCCCAATAAAAATCTTTAAAAAAAAAAGACTTTACAAGAGATACATGAGCATAGACACTTTAGTGAATTGATATCCAGATCTTCATTTTCACACTCCTCAAAAATTAAACAATTACTATATGATCCACCAATTCCACTTCAGAGTGGAAAGAATTGAATGTAGATATTTGCACACTCATGTTTATAGCATTATTTTTCACAACAGCTAAAAGGTGGAAACTACTCAAGTGCTGGATGATGGATGAATGGATAAACAAAACGTGGTGTAGACATACAATGGAATGTGAGCTTCCTTTCAGCCTCTATACTCAGGCTGATTTCAGCACTTTGGTTTCTCGTCAGTCCTGAGAGAATGTAGTTCCCACTTGGAGCACAAGGGGGAGTAAGACAACCTTTGCGAAGGGTCACAGGACTGACTTACCAGGCTTCCTTCACAAGCTTTATGAGAAAGGCAAAATAGGAAATGCTTTTCCAAAATTAGAAAGGCAAACCTGACTTATAGATTCCAAGTGAGCGGTAACTGTTCTTCAGTTCCCTGGACATGTATTTGAGGCGTGAAACCGTTGGCAAGCATGATGAACTTAGTTATAAGAGAGATCAGATCCCTTATAGTAGCTGTTTTTTAATATCCTATTACGTAACATGTCTTTCACACACATTACCACATTTAGTTTAACTCTCGAATAGCCAGTGAAATAATTCTCATTCTCATTTTACAGATAAGCAAACCTGTGTGATCAAGAGAAATTCAGTCATAACTAGCAAATGGTGAAAGTTGTATTTGAACTCAAATACAAAGCTTATGCCCTTTTGATTATCCCACACTGGTTTACCTTACAAAGGCTTGGAGTTTATATTAATTCAATTCCCTTGTTTAATAGGGATAGTCGAGAAAGGAAACTGGTCAGTGGTGAGTGATTACTGATGAGACCAAGGGGAGGACTTTGTGACCAGGGTGAGCTCGTGGACATGAGGACCCCTGATCACAGACTATAGTTATGCCCATGCCACTGCTGTGTCAACACCTTGCAAGACGGGGAGGCTTTAGAATTGGCCATTTAAACCATGTTCTCACCCTGGAAGAATCACCTGTCCTCTCAGTCCCTTCGTGCCTCATCTTTAAAATGGGCTGACTCCTTCTCCTCCATCAGGCCTCAACTCAAATGTCACTTCCTTGGAATGGCTTGCCCTGTTTAATCATTCTAAAATAGCTCCTTCCCCTAGTCACTGTCTATCCCATCATCTTGTTAAAATATTTTCTTAAATGTGCTCATAACTAACTGAAATTATATATTTTGTTCACTTATTTGTCTCCCCTCCTAGGATTCATAGCCTCCATGTGACCAGGGATTCTGTTTAGTTCATGTTTGTGCACGCTTGTACCTAGAACACTGCTAAGTGTTGGCACACTAAGTGATCAACAAATCTTTGTGGAATGAATGAGTGATACAATGATGAAGAGCTAGGACCAGAGGGTGAGAGTTTAGCAAAGAAGAGGATTTTCCTAACAATAAGAGTTGCCCAAAGACAAAGCAGCCTGCCCTGGAGGAGATAGTCTCCCTGTCTTTGGAAGGGAGCATGCGAAGACTATCTAGGGGGCTCCCAAGTTGGATTGGTGAAGGAGGGCTGGTTTGAGGTCCTTTGGGCTCCTCAGTAGAATCTTAATTAAGTTTTGATCTAAAACCCTGATAACAGGGTGCTGTCTAGTCATTGTGTTAAATTATAGACTGGGTATTTTCTCTATCTAATAGCTAGGGAAAGAGAGGCTCGGAAAGTGAGGGAGGCAGAGACAAGGGGATTGACAATGCTAGATTCTGCTTCTGGGCTCTGTGGGAGACACCTGCCTGAGATACTAATGGACTGACTTAAATTCGAATAAAATAAATGAAGACAATTATGGCTAATCATTTCCAACTCAGTTGCTGCTTTTACCACTGGGCTCTTGTTTCCTTCTGGACCTCACTTTCCCCACGGGTGTAGGGAATGGTTACCACCCAAGTCAAAACTCTCCTAGTTGCCTCGATTTCCTTTCTCCCCATGTATAGCCAATCAGCCACCAAATCTTCTCCTTTTCATTCCTTTTTTTTTTAAGTTTGCAGCAGAGGACAGTTTATTAGAATAGAAAGTAACAGCTCTCAAAACAAGAGGGGGTCCCGACTGGGGTGCCCCTCCGTTTCATTCCTTTAATGTCCCACTGCATCTCCCACCTCAGGTCTCATAATCTCTTTTGAAGTCACTGTACCAGCCTTCTCTCTGGACTCCCTGTCCCCTGTATCTTGGAACCTCCAATCCATCTCCCATTGTGCAGGCTGAGATCTTTCTAAAGCATGAATTTGGCCAAGGCTTCCCCCTGGATACAGCCCTGTAAGAGTTCCATGTTGCCCTGACCATCCTTAGCACGGCCCCCAGGCCCTGGGTGACCTCTGGCACTGACTTACCCTCCCACCTCACTCACCACCTATACTGTGCCCATCACGTCTATGCTTCTAGAGACTGATAGCCCCTGAAGTTCCCTGAAGATTTCACATCATTTCACACTTTTGGGCCTTTGCTCATGCTGGTCCATCTGGGTTGTTTCTCCACGAGTTTAGCTCCTACTTATCCTAAAAGGCTAAGCTCAAGTCTCATCTCTGCTTCCCAGAACCTGTATCCCAGCCTAACTCTCAGCTTCCTCCCTGCTGATGTGTTCTACAGTGAGTAAATAGCCATGCCAAATTCATTAATGTTGCTGATTCAGATAAAATAAACGAAGACTTTCCCTACTTTCAGTAGCTAAGAAAGCATGGGCTAGTTATTTCTTCCTCACATCCAAGATGGTATGAATCAGTCTCCACTTTATAGGTTTATTGTGAAAGTTAAATGAGACGATGGAGGTGATAAGTCCTTTGTAAATATTTCTATACCTATTTATTCAGCAAATATCTTCTGACTCCTTCTAAGAATGATTCAGGAGGCACCGCGTTGGTAGTAGTGTGGCCCTTGGCTCTTACGGAGCTCAGACTAATGGATCTTATAGCCTGCTGTCCTGCAACAGACAGTGAGCTTTTTTGGGTAGGGGACCATTTATTATTCACCCTGGTGTATAGTAGGTACTCAGGAGATATTTGTTGTGTGGATGAGTGAATAAGTGAAAGAATGAATGAATTAATGAATGAGTGGCATTCCAAGTAGAGAGAGAAACATGCTAATCAATGGAGATGTTATGGAACAGGTGACATTCAGGAAATGGCAAGTACTTTAATGTTAGAGCTCAGGGCATGATGGGAGAGTATCCAGTAATGAGGCTAGAAGGTGGGTGAAACCAGACCACAAGGGGCCCCATGTGCCTATTAAACAGATGGACTTTGGAGTAGGGCACTGGGAGGGATTTTACTCGTAAACTGTGTTTAGGAGAAGTCCTCTGCAGCAGTGTAGAGTATGGATTACAGGGGGAAGACTGGAGGCTACCACGGGGGTAGGATAGTAAGGAGACTGTAGTGTAGATGGAGAAGAAGGGATGGAATAGAGTTCTCAGAAGGTAGAATGGATTGGCAGGGTGGGCAAGGGAGAGGGAGGGGTGGTGTGTGGCACCTGTGCTCTGACTATTCACAAGTTGAATGCTTCCCTTGTGTATTTCAGTGTGCCCTGGTGATAGGGCAGTGTCCTCAGTGTGCATTTTAACCAGTTTCACCTCATAAAACTGATGCAGGTGGGGAGAGAATGGACCTGAACATTCATTTATTTTATAAATGAAGAAACTGAAACACAGAGAAGGAGGGAATGACTAGTACATGAAATGGCATTTGAGATACTCATAATTTTTTTTTCTCATTATCCAAATCTGTTCCATTCCTGTGGTAGATTGGCTAAAGGCCATAGGTTCCTCACTACCCTGTATCCATGCCCCTTTGTGGTGCAACTTTGCTCTTCCTCCCAGTCAGAGGTGGAGTTTATTTCTCTGCGCCTTTGAATCTGGGCTGTATTCGTGACTTGATTTGGCCAGTAGAATAAAGCGTATGTGATGTTATGCAATTTCTGAGGCTAGGCCTGAAGAGATTGTATCTTCTGCATTTACTGCCTTGGAACACTGCCCCAAAACCACTGTGTAAGCTGGTCTAGCCTACTGGTGACTTAGGATGTGGAGAAGAGCCATGGCAACCATCCCTCAGCCAGCACCACCTGCCAGACCCATGAGTGAGGCCATCTTAGACCTTTCAGTCCAGCTGACCTTCCAACTGAATGCTGCTTACAAGTGACACCAGGTAAAATCAACAGATGTATCCATTCAGCCACCATCAGAATTGTGAGAAATAATAAATTATTGCTGCTTTAAGCCACTGAATTTTGGGGAGTGGTTTATTATGCAGCAATAGAGAACTGAAGCAACTTCAGCACTCCCCTTATCAGTAAATGGCTTCACTGTCCACCTGGTTGCTTATGCCAATTCCCTTCCCATCATATCTCACAATCTGTCACCAAGTCTAGGGAATTTTCGCTCCTAAATGCATATGAAATCCCTCTAGTTTGCGCTTTCCCCACTGCTATGATGTGAGTTCTGGTTCCCTTCATCTCTCTCCTGAATTATTATAGCAATCTCTGTGTTCCTTATCTCCTGTCTCCCTGATCCCTACACTTCCCATCCAATCTGTCATACCCACCACAGTCAGAGCTATCTGTCTTACATGCATATGCATCCAGTCACTCCATTGCTTAAAACCTTTTGCTTGCCAGGAAATTCCCAAATCTCTAACCTGATTTATGAGGCCTTAGACCATCTGGCCCTGCCTCTGTTTCCAGTTTGTCTTCCACCACCCCTCTCATTGAACCCTATGTTTCTAGAGCTGCTTCACAGCTTCTGGGGACCTTCTGGCATCTGCTCTAGCTCCCCCATTGCATGAGGCAACCCACTGAAGGGGTCTGATGAAAATATTCAACCTGTCAACCCTTCTAAGTTCCTAGGTTGGCCGTGAGGGACTCACACTGGGGTACAGGTTTGAACCTTATGAAGATTTGGACATTCCAAATGACATCCACACTTATGCTAATACCTTTTCTATGTGACTGATTTTCATTCAATGAAAAGCATCAATTTTTTTTTAATTTCATGTAAAAACCAGGAGCTAAAGAAGGCTGATTACTCTGGCAACTAAAAGGGTTTAAGGAAATTTTGTCTGTTGGACTCTTAATCATAATGGTGTTCCCTGAGCAACCATAATTCTGGGGTCTAATAAAAAGAGCACTGGACTTGGAGTTAGACAGATGTGGTATCTGGCTCTGCTGTTTACCTGATGTCTGACCTGGGCAAATCATTTAAATTTTATGACTTCTATTTCCTCATTTATAAAAAGGGAATGGAAGTCCATACTTTGCTTGATTGTACTGGACTAGGTGAGATAAAATATGTGAATGAGCCCAGCACATTTTAGGGTTTTAATGATATAATAGTTAATTAATCTGATCCAAGGCAAAAGGTAGAATTTTGTCTTTCTTTTTATTCTTACTACTTGGGCATTTGGATCTGGAAGGGAAGAAAATCCAATATAATTTGATTTGTTTTGTTCTTCTCTCTGGTGGTCGCCTGCTAGTCAATAGGGAGGTAGCTATTGGGGGCATAAATCATACAGCCCAAATGTCAGATGTGACTTCTCTTCCTCTTTCAGATCTAAATACAATGGGCTTGAACCTCAATTTTCACATTTTGTTNTTTTTAAACTCAGTTTAGGAGCTGCCTCCTACAGGAGACTGTTTGACCACCATGCTTCCAGGTTGGGTTAGATGCTTCTTGTGGGCTTCCTCAGCCAAAGCTTCCCTCTGTCTTATCATTTATCTACTGCTTTTTACTCTGCATTTCTGTGCTTTTATACTCTAATCTGTGGCCACTCAGAGGTCAGACACCATGTCTGATTCGTGTTTGTATTCCCCATGCCCAGCACTGGGTTTGACCAAGAGCAAGGCGCTCAGTAAATATTTGCCGAAGGAATGAATGGGAGGAACGGGGTTCCACCCCACTCCTGAGACAACATTGGGGCAGGTGCAGTGATGGGGTGATTCTGAGGAGTGTGTGTTTCCTCAGTGAGTATGTGAATAGTGGAGTGACCATTAAAAGGTTGGTGACTCAGGGTGACACTGGAAGTGTGTTCCTGAATGACCATAGGTCTCTCCTGCAGATGGCTTCAGTGACCGATGGCAAAGCTGGAGTCAAAGATGCCTCTGACCAGAATTTTGACTACATGTTCAAACTTCTCATCATCGGCAATAGCAGTGTTGGCAAAACCTCCTTCCTCTTCCGCTACGCCGACGACACTTTCACCCCAGCCTTCGTCAGCACTGTGGGCATCGACTTCAAGGTGAAGACAGTCTACCGCCATGACAAGCGAGTAAAGCTACAGATCTGGGTGAGTCTTGGGCATCTTGGGCAGGATTATCCTGAGAAGTGACTAGTCTGCTGGGAGAAGGACTGGGAGGTGGGGCAAGTTTGGAACTTTTGGGTCTTATGGCATCAGGCACCAATGCTATTACTGGTCTGGTGCCTGGACTGCCCCTTGCTGGTTTATACTCTCCTCTGGGGGCTCGGTTGCTTCTACTGCTTAACTGTCCCAAGAGACTGTATCCTGCCTGGCCTGTATGATGGCGTGACTGAGAATCTGGGCTTTGGAGTGAAAGACCTAGATTTAAATTCTTGTTCTGCCACTAACTAGTTATGGAACCTTGACTATATTACTTAACGTTTCTGGGCCACCTTTCCTCTTTGGGATTTATAATAGCATCTATATCATAGGGCTGTGAGGTGCTTAGCATGGTTCCTGGGACATAGTGAATGCACAATAAATGTTAGCTACTGTATCCATAATTTATCATTGCGTAATAAATCACTTCAGAACTTGATGGCCTAAAACAACAACAATAATAATTCATTACCACACAGTTTCTGTGGCTCGAACATTTGGGAGTGAGTGGCTTAGTTTCTGTGGCCTTTTATGAGGTTGCAGCCAGATGTCACCTTGGGTTGCAGTTATCTGAAGGCTTGAGTGGGGCTGGAGGGCCCCCTTAAGGTGGCTTTGTACTGGCTGTTACTGGCTGTTAGCAGAAGGCCTTAGTTCCTTCCCATGTGGCTCTTTCCATAAAACTGCTTAGGTGTCTTTATGGCATGGCAGCTGGCTTCCCCCACGGGGAGCGATCCAAAAAACCAAAGAGGAAGTGGCAATGTCTCTTATTAGCCTTAGAGGATTCTATTGGTCACTGATTCAGTGTAGGAGGAAACAACACAAGGGTATGAATCTTGGGAGGTGATGGTCATTGAGGACCATCTTGGAAGCTGGCCACCATAGCTACTATTATTGGTATTTACCAGTTGTACTAATAAGACATACAGATATTTGAGATAACACAGCAACCTGTAGATCATATACTTTTTAATAACGAATTAGCACTGAGATTGGAAATTTTGAAAATTTGTGATTTAAAGTATTCAAAACATGTATTATTGATTATCTGTCCATCCAAATTGTTAAATGTACATTACTACATCATGGGTATATCTTATTGGTATAGTCTATATACGTTACTTTTCTTTTTATAAATTATTTCTATATATTAGTATTATCTCACAATTAACCCCATGGGGGAGATATTATTTTAATACACTCCTATTTTACAAAAGAAAAACTCCAGACTCAGGGAGTAATTAACTTGCCCTAGGTTGACCACACAGCTATAAAGTACGATTCGAGCTCAGATTTTCTGATTCTAAATTATGCTGTCTGTATAATTATGCTCTCTGTAGAACAGTGCATTAGGCCTTATAGAGCCCCTATTTCCGTGTATGATAATGTAAAGTATTAATTTACATAGAGATAAAAGTTTATTTTATTCATTTAATCTCTATTAACAGCATTGAGGAATCACAAATCATTAGAAATGTGAGAAGCTATATCACTTAGTTTATTGGTTCTAGAAGTGTGATCTCTAGATGAACAGCATTTGGCATCACCTAGGAATTTGTCAGAAATGCAAATTCTCAGGCCCCTCCTCAAACCCACTGAACCTGAAACTCTGGGGTATGGCCCCACAATCTGTGTTATAACAAGGTGGTTTTGAGGCAAGCTAAAATGGAGGAACCACTGATGAGAATCAATAATCATTTATTAAGTACCTATTATGTGCGGAGTGCTTCCACTTATGTTATCTGACATCTTTCTTGCAGCCAATGCATAGAGAAAGGTGAGAGCGTGGGGTATTTGGGGCGTGGTGAACAATACAGTTTAACCGGAGCAAAGCTGTGAAAGAGCAGAGAGGGGGTGCTCAGTGGGAAGTTTTCTGGAGAGGCTATCAGGTGGCAGCTTGAGGGTCAGGGAGACCTTGCACAGCAATACAGAAGGTTCTTGCCATGGGCCAGAGCGTACATGGTTGGTGATTCCTTGGAAGCTGAATAAACTATTAGATTCCATTTTTTATGTGTGAAGATAAACTAAATGTTTACTAATATTTACTATATGGATGGATACAGATGTCTTCATTTGATCTCCATATCAGATGGTCACATATCCTACATGTGAAAAATCTTCAGGTTGGAGGAGACATTCTGCCCTTCTAAAGGGTTGGCAGCGTTGCTCCCTTGTTCCTTCATTAATTTTCAGCCCACTGTGAGCTTTTGCAGTTTTCCTATGCCTGGTTAAGTGGATTTATTGATTATACTACCTAATTTTAACTAAATGAACCCTCACAATGGATATGTAACTTTAAAATAGTCCTGCAAAGAAGCCTTTAGTTGAAGACTATACTAAATATAGTGAGCACAAGTGAGCACAGAAAATGGCTGAACTAATGTTTCTCTGACTCCTAGCACAAGTTCATTGTCAGCCTTGTTTTGAGGTAAAATCAATGATGATCTAATTAGATCTGATGCAGTCAATCACATTGCTTTTGCTAGAAAAAAATATTAGCAAAGGATTTCTGTGTGTGTGTGTACATAATGTGCTTTTCTGTACCAAAAAAGTTATCTGTACNGTTCCCCCTTCTCCTTCCACACTTACATATCCACACTCCTCAAAGCCATGAGTAGGACAAAGGACCGTCTGTGAATTAGGGTCTTTCCTTCTTGGAAAGCAGTTGTGGTTAAAAATAGCATTTTTTTCTGTTATAATAACCACAGTGTTTCCTATTTACTGAGTGCCTACTATGTGCCTTGTACTCTGTCAAGTGCTTCCCAGTTGCTATCTCATTTTCTTATTTGATCTTCACAATGACCCTGGGAGGTAGCTCTCATTATTGCTATTTCTACAAATGGGGAGAGGTACATGTGTCAGAAAAATCAGGTAATTTACAGAAGATCACACAACAAGCAAGTGGTGGAACAGGATTGAAAACCACCAGCTCTGTCTGGCCCCAAGTCTGTGCTCTTTCTACTTTACTACATGGCCTTTCAGGGGAAGGAGAAGGAGAAAGAAATCAAAAGACCGGAGGCTATATAACCGCAATACCATCTGTTCTCTTATTGTTTTGCAACTTTAAAAGGGTGGTTTTATATGTTATCTCACTATTCCTGTGATGAATGGATAATCATTATCATCACACCCATTTTGAAATGAGAAAACTAGGTTCTTGTGAGAGAAAGGGAGTGAGGGACCAGGCAGCATAGGATATTTGATTTTAAGATCACAGAGGCACTAGTTCTGGGTGATTAAGAAGTTCAGAATGTGACCATGAGAGCCAGTGGCCAAGGTGATGTGAAGAGGAGACCAAGGACTGAGGGATCAGGAAGTCACATGGCTACTGGAGTCACCAGGAGGATGGCAGGACAGGGGCTAATGAGGATGACCATAAGCCAGGGACTGAACTCTTCAATACATAAGGAGCAATTGGGGGTCAATGATGTCCTTGATGAGAAGAGATAGAAGGTGGTATGACTGGAGAGCAAAGGAGAAGGCGTTTTTGTACAAGGGTGGAAGTGGCAATGCTGACCCTGCCTTATGGTTTTATGGTGTGTGGGGAATGGCAAAGTGAGAAGCTTTCTTAAAGAGGGCTACAACACGAGTCCTTGAGGAGGGTCAAGTTTCAGTAAAGGCAAAGAAGTAACCTGAGTACTCTCTGAAGAAGCAAAGGGTATAGAAGAGTTTGTTGACAAAGGAATGGGATTTAGAAGGTACAGTGGAAAGGGCTGCCAGGAAAAGGACTGTGGGAAGGTGAGTGAAATGGAGGTGTTGAAGAAGCTCAGAAGAGTATAAGGATGAGCCTGACAGATAAGTCAGACAACCAGAGGGGCTATCAGTGGGGTGGTTCCCGGAATCAGAGAGACAAATTGTAGATAGGGTCATAATGTAACTTGGGGGTAAAAATCATTTTGGTATCTGACACAGAAGTCTAAGATTTGGGGTAGGGGAAGAATGTGGGAAAGAACAGTGATTCTAAACCAAAGCTGGCAGCTGGCTCCTGTGACCTGAGGAAGGCTTGAAGTCCAGGTCAGGATGGAAGGATGCAGTGCTAATTACCTCCTATGCGTGCCTTCACTGGCAGAGCTGGGACTTCCTAATGACCAAGCAAGAGCGTTTTCTCACTCTGGGCTACTGCTGGTAATGGTGAGCCACTGAAAGTTTTTTTGTTTGTTTCTTTGTTTGTTTGTTTTAACGTGGTCGATGGTAACATGGTGCCATTTAAAACGATCGCTCAGGCTGCCGGTGTAGAGGATAGATTGAAGAGTGGAGGCAGGGCGACCCATTAGGAGGCTGTTGCATTAGTTCAGGCAAGAAGTGATGAGGCCTGAACCAGGCTGAGAGCAGTAGAGAGGAGAGAAAGGGAAAGGATAGGGCATGTTGAGGAGGTGTTATCACCAGACTGATGGGATGTAGGGCGCGAAGGAGTGTATAGGGTAGAGGACAATGCCTAGGTTTCTGGCCCCATTTCCTCTTATAGCCAGCCGTCCAGATTCTGTATCGCTCCTGTGGTTTTTGTGAGGATGAAGCGATATAACGGACAAGAAAGTGCTTTGGAAATGGCAAAATTCTGGTACCCATCATCATCTACATTATCACCAAAGCTCTCTGATCACCCTAGTAAGTTCGAGGCGTGAGAATTAAAATAAATCATGATAGTCACTCAGATGTTGGGGAGCACAGGGTCCCCC